AGAATGATAAACATTTATCCAGGTCTCGGTAACTCGTTACTGAAAAACGCATCAACATTTCAATTTCCTCCTAAGATTTCTGCCTAGATTTACATCTATCTAGCCCGAAGCCTTAGTGCGGTATAGCTCATACTCATAGCTTGAAAATAAGAATGGGGCTACTCCTTTGAGATCGTTCTCAAATAGAGGCATGCTGGCGTAGTACTACAACAGGTTAGTTTATGCAAAACTAGTGGTAACAAGAATCATACCTCAAAAGTGCCGTTGGAGCTCAAGCTACCTGTCTGGACAGTCCACTCCCAGGCTAAAGAGCCATCATGTGGGCGAGGCTGGGCAAAGGTAGTAGTCATTAGATTATAGCCATCCAAGGCCGCTTTGAGATATTTGTCACCCTTGACATAACCCATGCGAACAGCTTTGAAAAGACCGGTGACAAACATGGCTGTACCTGAGCTTTCAATGTAGTTGCCAGACTTGCCTTCCAGACCAGGATCCATAACAAGCCACCAGCCCTTGGTAGCCTTGTCTTGAGATGCCACGAGCGCATCAGCCAGGGTTCCGAGATACTTCAACAGGCGCTTGCGACCTTTGTGCCTTTCGGGAAAGTAATCGAGAGTGTCCGCAAGCGCCATGATGTACCAGCCTACACCGCGACTCCAGACATGGGGCGCAGCTCCAGTTTCAGCATCGGCCCAGACCTGGGTCTTGCTGTAATCGAATCCATGGAGAGGCAGACCATTGGTATGGTTGTTTGACCGCGTTCCTGCATCGATGAGGTCAAACTGCAAGGCGATGTCGTCCCACGCAGTGCTGTTACTGGGTTCAAACTCGTGGGTCCAGCGAGCGTAGAAGACGTCCAGCATGTAAAAGCCATCGAGCCACATCTGGTCGATATACGACGGGAATCGGTGGTAGAATCCTCCATCGGGCGTGCGGCCTGTGCGATCAATCTGCTTCCGCATATGCGTCGCCGCCTTCTTGTAAATGCCGTCTCCTGTTAAATTATACATATCCAAGAATGTATGACCGATCCGAATATCATCGATAGAGTTGCTCTTGTTATACATGAGAACAGTACCATCGTATTCGGGGTACAAAAGGATATCCGCGCCACGCTTGACATAGTCAAAATACTTCTCATCACCGGTTCGCTCATAGGCTCGGAGGACTCCGGAGTAGTATGCAGAGACGGTGTAAGCAAGGGTGGGCTCAACTCCGTGCTGCATCTGAGAGTCGGCCATCCAAGTGAGATACCGTGGACGGCCGTGAAATTGGGTATGTTTGAGCTTCTCGCCGGGCTGGAAAGTGAACCATCCATGAGGAAGAGTTGTGCCAGCGGCGAATGCAGTACAGGCTATAGAGCCAACAGCGAGGAGGGAGGCCCGCATGGTTGCTGATAGAGCATGAAAAGAAATAAAAGGTGAGCCTTGTATAATACATCAACATCCAACACGATGGTACGTGCCTTAAATACTTGTTATTATGATGAATACATCAGTTACATATAGACCTTAGCCAGACAGCAATTCCAAGAACCTGGCTTTTCCGAATTATAACATGCTCGTACAGTCATATAAACTAATTTACCTCCAGTTAAACTTCAAGGATAGCAAAACATTGTTGCCGCGCTGGGATCTTGATGATGATTTAGATAAAGCGGGGAAGGATTAAGCTTAATTGAAAATGATCAGATCTGCAGAACAATGCGATCTTTATGGTGGATAAATATTTTCCAGTCCTAAGCATTACTATTTTGCGAGCAGCCGGATCGGAAAAGCAGAAGCGGAAAAGCTACAGGACTGGACTTATGCCTCGGCAGACTAATTGAGCGTTGATTCGCTATAATGCGAGGGAGTTTAAGTAATCCTTGCATTTTCCGGCGATTGTTCTAGCAACCTCATGTTGGCATTGTTCGTAAGTTGCAAAGGGCGCGGACTAAGTGCCTAACTGATCATGTTTGAATCTCAGTCTGCTTAGTGGCTAGGCCACTCACCGCGGATCAAGATGTCTACAGTTTGTAGCTGACAACTAAAAGCGGCCAGCTATTCAGCTTGGACACTACTCTTTCTCACCAAGATTAACGCATGCAGCGACGAATTGCATTTTAACAAAATTATAGCATGCATTGTGTCTCTGTCTTTCGGTGTTTGCTGCTTGGGTCTCTCTATGTTCCAGTATGTGTTGTTGGCCTCTAGAGACTAAATTACTATGAATTATGCAGGTCTTATGGATTATTAGGCTCCTAGTTGACCTGCGTTTTTATTGATGCCTTGTTCCATGCTGGTGAGCCATGCACTCAGGACCTCATAATGACTGTGGAATTCTTAGCCAGGGGCCTCAGAAAGCATAAGTCAGTGATGGCTATAGGTTCAAGGCCCGTGCAGTCACAGAACTTTAAAATTTTACTACCATTGGCTAGAAATGTATAGCTGTCCACTCTCATAATCCATGTGTTTCCCCTCTGCCCATGAGAGAAAAGGAAAGCGACAACTTAGACACAGACCGAGCCCCCGTATAGGCTTAAAGCAACTTTACTCATCTTTCGGTTTCGGTTCATGACTGTGGGCCAACTCTTTGCGCACTAACTAGAAAGATTCATAGACAGGGTGTGCTTGAGACAGCCGATCGGCAAAAGCCGACATAGCGCATCCCAGGGATAGATACGGATCAACTAGAGCACTACGTATATTGACGATATACCAAACTGGGTTGGTTTAAACAAGAAGTGTTATCCCTTTCTGTTATTATGGCATAGTTTTACTAGATGCTAGATGAAATTTGTGAAATTTATTTTTAATCACACACTGCTAGACGTTAACCTTGTCTTTAGTATACTTTATTCTAGCGGATTCTCTGGTAATTCTAGCTCTCTTGCCTTCCAGACGAAGCTAGCCACACTGTTGTAACCCAAACATCGTATCACTGCCGAGCAGCAAGCACTTTTGTATCTAGATTGGATCATTCTTCCCTGCTAGCTCCTGTTTCTAAGTCAGTTTTCTCCACTTCACCGTTCCGCTGACGCAGCGTTTGACTAGAATCAAACTCTAAACTAGGATAAGATTACGCAAACGGTATCTGTCAACCTATTCACTGTGGACGCCAGCACGTGGCCTGGCCTAACGCACCTCCGGGTTCTTGATAATGCCCGGAGTCCAGAACCTGAGGACTGGCGCGAGCGTTGTTTGACGGGATTTGGAATTGAAATATGGGTCCTCGGCGTTTTGATGGTTAATTCCAGCGTCGAGTTGAACGGTGGATAACGATACGAGAAGCCAAGCAGCAGATCCCAATCTATACATGGGCTTAAATGAGCCTCACAATCGTGAAGTTTAGTTGCCTTGCCGATTCCCTTCAACACCGGTTCAACAACGTAATCAGGCGGCTGCCAAGCTGGCTTATAAATCTCACATCCCGCATTGTCAAAGCTCAAGTTTTGCCGTAGAACTGACTGGGCACTGACTCGCTGACAACGGCGCTCTGGCCAGTTTAGGCCTGCACCAGGAAGCAAAACACTGGTGTTCTTATTAACCTTCGAGGAACTTTTTAAATTATGCAACGATCGAAGATCAGTCAAGTCTCGTGTTCTATCAAGGTAGCCCCATTAATCAGTCTATATGCTCATCAGGGTTAGTTTTAGTATGCAAACCTTCTTTGAAGTTCCCTGTCTGACTCTACTATACGAGGATGTTATCGAGCATATGCTCACAGAGGTATGGAGACCTGACTCCGTATAGACCTTGCAAGACGATGAGGCCTTGGCGTGCGGTGAGAGGGTTCTTGGTATCGAAAATGACTATAAAACAGCCTGTCTTGTCTTTACCGTTGAAATCTTGATCCTGGGCACACTCATCTTCATACATTATATCACCTCATTTTCACATCAAACATTAAAGCCAACTTGAACTCATCATAGCTTTCACTTCTACTCAAAATGCATCCTCAGACAATTTTCAACGCCCTCGTTGCCCTTGCTGCCACCGGAATGGCTGCTCCTTCCGAGGCCCTCAACAACCTTCACGCCCGCGGCGTAGTTAACCACGATTCCCTCAACCCGGTTAAAAAGACAATCGAAGGAGGTGCAATCGGTGCAGCCATCGACAGGTGGCAGCCTCTTCTCCACATTGCCGACGGCTGTCAGCCATACACTGCCGTTGACACGAGCGGCAACGTTAGGTATGTAATCGAATCATCGTTCACATTACATATGTCTTATAGCTAACCTCGTAAATAGTGGTGGGCTCCAGGACAGCGGTAGTAAGACCGGTGGCTGCAAGGATACCAGTAAGGGTCAGACATATGCTCGTGCCGCCATGCATAACGGCAAGCTAGCCATTATGTACGCTTGGTACTGGCCCAAGGACCAGCCTGCTGATGGCAACCTTGTCAGTGGTCATCGCCACGACTGGGAAAATGTTGTTGTCTTCATAGATAACTACCAGTCCCCCGGGGCTACCCTCTACGCCGCTGCCGCCTCTGGCCACGGTGACTACAAGAAGACCAAAAACCCTCAGCGAAGTGGCAATAATGTCATGGCTGAGTACTTCACCAGCTTTGGCAAGAACCATGAACTGCAGTTCAAGACTAGCCCTGGACGTACTTATTGGATCTACGACTGGGCTGCCATGACTCCCGCTGCCCGACAGGGTCTGATCACTGGCCCATCTGGTAATCCTGACAAGCCTTGGGGCAGCGCCAATGTCCCTTTCATTGACGCAAACTTTGGCAACAACCTCAACAAGGCCTGGTCCTGAATTGAACAAAGGTAAATGAGCTCTTCTTATTTTCTTTCTCTTCTTCCTCTTCTTGTTGGGCTCGTTGTACGCAGTATATTCCATGTCAATTAGGTTTCCTTATATTTCAACCTTTCAAATAGGTAATCCATATTTCAACATTGGGATTAGTGTTAGTAATAAAACTTGGACTCGGACATCTATTGTGTACAGTAATGTATTGTCACAATAGTAACACTATGCTCGGTATGCACTGATCTCGATGTCGTGCTAAGATACATCGACTGTGTGTGCAGAGCCCCAGAACTCGAGACAAACGCCAGTCAGTTTACTCAAGTCCAGTCCATTATTCTCTCTTTCCCTTACTGTCAACATCCATGTAGCAAATGGTCCAATCGGTGCAACAGATAGCTGTCGCTCCGTTCTTGCACTATCACGACCAGCACCTTCACCGCCACTATCCAGATTCTGCACAACAATTGGGCTTGTCTTCTGTGCAGCCGCCCATGAAGTCACATTCGTAGGGTCATAGACAAATTTGAGGTGCGTCGCGCTATGCATGAACTTCAGCGTTGTTCTTCCATCATCCTTCACAATCGAATCGTCGCCGAGGTGGGAGATTTCCAAAGACAGCCGACACTGTTGGGTGTCTTGATCGGGCTTGACGGTTGCGCCGAAAAGCCACACCAGGACTTGGTCAAGTCGAACGTTGGCATATCCTGTGAATGGGTTGTAGTCGGAACTGTCAGATGCATCAGTTGACAGAGGTGTTGGTGCGGGCAGAGCGAACATGACTTGATATTCCTGCTCATCTGTGCTGCTTGAGAGATCTTGGACCTTGTGATTCTGGAGCTCAGAGACCTGGTCTTGACTGAGGAACCATGTTATACCACCGGCTGTCTGGCCCGGAGGGCTACTTGGGTTAGGGAAGATTAGACCTGGGTTCTCAGAATAATAAGATAGCCAAGAGCTGAAGCTGTTGCTTAGTCCTTCGACGTAAGATTGAATCCGCTCGACAGTATTGCCGCTGTCAAAGCCACCACTTGGCAACGGCGGGTCAACTTGAGCATTTGAGTCAAGCTTCCAAAACTGCATACTGCCCGCAGCCTCATACATAAGCTCATACGCTGTCGCACACATGTCATTGAACGTTTTGAACTGGAGCAAAAGAAGTGACCCGCGGTGAGTATCTGACATAATATTCTGGCTGGAGAGAACGCCAATCTTGTGGGTCAAGTACTTCAGACTCTGCAGCGCCTTGACGAGCATTATCGCTGTTGTGTTATACTTGAGCACAGCAGCGTTGCGACGTTTAGCAAGAGACGCGAACTGATGAAGAGTGCTGTGAATGTCCTTCACCTTGTTAGGGTCAAGGGCACTCGCGAATTTGTCAATCAAGTCGTTGAGTGTCTTCTCATCAGCAAGAAGCTTGGCCGCGCCAGGATCGTCGACTGAGAGTGTCCCGCTGGCTGTCATATTCACAGCTTCGTTCAACTTTCCAAGGTCATCGCCAGCAGAGGCAAATTGCTTCACGACGTACAGCTTGTTGACATCACCACCATCGTCGGCTTGAACGCTGGTGAACGAGTTATAAAGGCCCGAGAAAATTCCCATACCTATCGCAAAAGGATCTGGATTCGATAGGAGTTGCGTAATTCCGTTGATTATATCAGTTGGATTGAAGTTCCAAGAGCTATTAATTTCATCCGTAAGGGTAGTCACCTGATTTTGGATACTAAGCCTCATTGCCTTTAGTGGTGGAGTGTACTGTTGGATTTGGGATCCTGCTGACTTCAACGGCCCAGTAGGACTGGTGGCAAGTTGGATCTGCTGTTGTAGAATGTTGATCTGAGCTTGGACGCTGGTGATTGCTAGCTTCTTGTTGTATTCAATGTCCTGTTGCTGACCCTCCTGGGCAGCGATACTGGTGGCGAGTTCATTCAATTTCGGGATTGAGGAGACAATTGCTGATGAGTACTGGGTATATGTCAACCGTGGAACCCAACGAGCACCCTCATCTTTGTCTCCGCCATGACCAAACATGTCCTTTCCATGGGAGATAGCACAAAGATACAAACCTGCTTGTAAACGTATCTGAGCCAGGTCTGAAATGGGGTCTAAGCAGAGATGGGCAGCCTGCATTTGTGCATAGGCTTTGGTCAAAGGTTGAGGGTCTTGGCTGTCGAGATCATCCTGTAAGAGAGGTACAAAAGAGAGGCGATCGAATATCCTTTCGTATAGCTGGCGAGCCTCGTCAAACCGACCGGGGTTTTTGCTTGCTGTCCGGCAACTCGCGGCAAGATATTTGCGATTTGCCATGTCGAGCAGCATCTGGCACTGGTCTGGGTGGACATATGCCACAGGGCTTGAGAGATCTGGGGCGTCTGGGCTAATGGCTTGAATGACAGGCATAGTGCCATTACCACCTTGTCCGGAGGCACCCGAATTTCCTCCATCGCCTCCATCACTGGAATACCAAACATTGAATTGTTCAATGAGACTGCTCACATTACTTTTCAGTAAAGTCTCTAGGGCCTCGATGGCCAGCGCGAACGGTGATGCTGGTTGTGTTTTGGCACCATCCGAACCAATTTGGCTGAGGGCGGTCTTGAAGGATAAGAGAGCGTTCTTGAGGTCACCAAATGAAACATCTTGCACTTTGCTTCTGGAAACATTTTTGGCTGCACTTTGCAAGGCGCTCAAGGAGGCCGAGTAGGTTGCCAAGTCAAATCTGGGTTCCTCCGGGTGTGTAAGAGTCTTCTTCGATGCTGCGATAACTGACTCTAAGAGAGATTTTGTCTCTTTGGGCATTTCCCTGTGAAATATGCGCTCAATATAGCCCAGACTGGATATGAGATTATCCAGCAACCGGCAATTGCTCTCGAACTTTGTCGCTTCCGTTGCAACTGTGCTAGTCTTGCCCTTGGGCTCCAAGTTCTTGGGTACCATTTTCGCCAGTTGCTGTGCTCGAGTACGGAATGGGGTCGATGCATCTTTGTATACCATGCTCAACTTCCCCAGTAAAGCGCTTTCAGTCGAAACATAGAGGAACTGGACTTGGCCCCCATTGCCCCCATTTCCGCCGACGGAACTGCCACCAGGGCCATAGTCAGCTGCATTACCCCCTTGCCCACCAAAGGCTACGAGGAAAAGACCAGTCTGTCCGGAGTCTGTGGTCATGAATTTTGTGGCGTCATATTCTTCGATGTAAGCATTAATACTGCCCGCGTTTTGACCGTTGTTCTCCGCCGTCAAAGGCGCATTTGGCGCCGTGACTGGTGCACCATCGCGTCCAATAGTCCTGATAACACCTTGCGGAAATGGCTCAAAGTTGAACGAACGGCAGAAGATGCCGACATTACAGCCATTTGCATTACAAATTTCGGCTGTCATCTCAATTGTATCGGCGTAAATCAGAATCGTGGAAGGTGTTTCTGAGCCCTCTGTGCCGACTAGTAATGAATCTCCCATCTTGAACGTGCCAGCTGAAAGGATCAGGAAGGTGCTTCCAATTTGGCAACGAATTGAGCCATCATTTGGTTGAAGGTTGGTGGTGAGAGGATCAGCCATTGTGAGAATATGAAGCACGCAGATTATCAGTATGAGTTCAGGTATAAAGCGATGAAGAGTTCAGAATTGAGCTTGAAGTGATTCAAGATTTATGCTCCTTTTAATCGTCCCCAAGCCTCACATACTACCGTGGGCTCTCCAGCATCGTTGAGTTTGTCACATGCAGGGAATTGAGACATCTACCTACCAGTGGCGGCAAATTGGGCTAAACTTTCGTTCTTAGCGGCATTGATGCAGAGTTGGTCCGGACCGACTCATTCGGTTTCTTCATTTTGCTTGCTTAAATCGAAATCGGGCTGACGCTAATTTACCTGGAGGATCGCGGGGATATATGATTGGTGAGATGATCTATGCAATGCTTGTAGAAGGCTTGTTATTTGTCCACGGCTGACTTACTTCCTTGCTTCGGCGCGGTAGACTTTGAACATCTTCCTTGTCTTGGCCTAGCCCGGCGATCTGATAATCAGATCAGCAAAGGTGATAAGCCAGTATAAAAGTGAAATCGCCAAGGGAAGACGCCATCTCGTATTAAAACCAATGAATAACTTTGAAGACGCCCGCCTGGCTAAGATACTGAGCGCCGCAATCAATTGATCGCCGTCGTTCTAGACCTTGAATGGTCGGCCAGGAACCCTGCTGGCTCCAGACGATCTCGACCCCGCCTGCGTCAGGGCTTGGGCTATTGCCTTCTGGACTACGTACAATCTCCTTTTTCAGAGTTGTGCAGAGAGCTATTTACAACGCCTGCTTATGATCCGCTACGTGACTGCAGTTAGTGGCTTCACAAGGTCTCACCTTAGACTTTGAAGTGCGAAACAGAATTCAAGCCCCTTTGATTCACCGCTACATGCTTCCATTAGCATCGGCCAATATCAAGGAATTTGCCGAGGGCAGAGCCTATAACCATAAGAAGGTAATAATTGCAAAAGGATTGATCAGAAAATATCCTCATCCCTTTTCGTGTTTTCAAACTAAACTGCATACCCAAGATGGCAACCTCTTCTACTTTTAAAAATGAACTGCTGGCCAAGTTCCAGGCTGCTTATTGGGCTGCTCCTCAGAGTCCCTTTTCATTAGCTTACTCCAATGCTCTTTTGTCCACAGATGCTTCTACTCGAGATGCGGAAATCGACACAGTTATGAAAGAATTTGGCTATGACTCTCTCACCGGGTCTCAGATTAATCGCATCACCAACACTGACAACCTCTCTCCGGTACCCGCGGCTTCAGTGGCGCCAAACAGCACTCCAGCCAAGTCATCCAGCCCAATTCCAACTAGCCCACCTATTACCACGCCAGATACGACTGGTGCCAGTGCTTATATCTTCCTCGCCTTTACGGGCTCATACAACGTCACATCAGATGGCTTCCCAGATTCTACCAACGAAGTAATCGTTAATACTGCCGGAACTCTAGACCTAGGCACATCTCAGCCACCACTGAAGCCCGAGGTCCTCATAGACGACCAGAACAAGAACTGGGTTCAGTGGGAAGTGAAGCCCGACTCTGAGTGGTATATAGTCACATTCTCTTCAACGGTTGACACTAAACTTGGCTCGACCTTTCGCGAGATGGATGGCTTTCGCTGCGTGGTTGACTCGGGAGGAAAGCAAACCAATACTCCAATCTCAGCCCAATGCCCAACACTGAAGCCAAAGATCGGCAATTCATTATCTGAATTCATGGCCTTCCTTCAACAGCCCTATACATGGGCAGGACTGTCGTTCGCTGGCGCAGTGATGTTATGCCTCAACCGCTACAAGCACAAAACGGAAAGCCACGAAGCTTCAGAGAAGGAGAAGGCTGTCTACCAGGAGCGCCTAGGAGTGATCAATGATATTGCGCGCAAGGGAGCTGATATCGCTGCAAAGGACAGCATCTCAGAAGCCACTCCGGCTGAGCGGATGGAGTTGCATAACCGAATGAGGCAGAGTGTCAAGAACATTGTCCAGGAGTTCTATGACAAGCCTGCAAATAGAACGGCCGATTTCAATGCCGCCACGACAGCTTTATCACAAGAATGTAAGAAGGCAGCTGCAGATGCCTTAAGAGGATGGTCCAACGAAGTCGTTGTTGCTGGTAACTGCTCTGACCTAAGCAAGTACGTAACTTCTTACATGGACGAGCATAACCTGATGGCCCCAGAAGATCGTGAGAAGACGTCAGCGATCTTTCTGGAAGCCATAGACCATAGAGCCATGAAAGCATACAAAGGCGCTACCAAGGCAAGCGGATCACCTGAGGCTGCCTTTGACGCCGTGGCGGATAAGTATCTCAAGCTTGCACTCATAAACCATCAGCTCGAAGGCCTCGGATCAAAGCTTCAGACCAGCACTGGAAACATCGCAACAGCTGAAGCTGAATTGAACATGGCAAGGCTGGACCTTCGAAGAAAGCAGCAAACAAGTCAAGATACGCACACTGCATGGCAAAATCTCGTTGATCAAGTCCGGGAAGCAACTGCAAGTAAGCAAAACACTACGGAGCTTGAAGAGCAAGAGAGGCAAGCGAGGGCAGCTTACAACATTGCCGAAGTCAGTGAGGATGAGGCGCAGAAGCACGTGTCTACGCAGGAGACGGCCCATAAGAAGGCGATGGACGATGAGACGAGATGGAAGAGTGAACAGGAAAAGGGTGAGGAGGAACGCAATAAATTGGAGGGGGAAACACAGAATACAGAGAACGGTGTAATGAAGCATCTAGGTGGGGGAGAGGAGGGGGGGAGGGAGTAAACATTGCCTATAGCGACGATATTCTCCCTTGCCTGCCTGCCTGCCTGCCTGCCAAGACATAATTATTCAAATGCGACCTACCAGCTTCTCAACGACACATCAGCGAGCCTCATTTGAAGTCGGTGAAAGTCGGGAAACAGCCGAGATAAGCTACTGGCCGTTTACAATGAGGCCACGGTTCTGTTAGTTTACTCCTCATTCGCGTTGTTGATAAAGGTACCAGCAAGTCGAAAATGTGGCTTGCACTAAACGTCATTATAAGATGAACCCCTCAACGATTGATACAGAAGCATCTACGTCGCATGCTCTCAGCAAGAGAAGCTTGATAAGCAGGATGGGAACAATATGATTGCGAAGAGTGATTATGAGCTCATGAAAAAGCAATAAATGATTCTTGGATTATGCTGTCTCACCTCAATTTTCGCATCTATTTTTTGAGCCCCGCCAATCGTGTTCTGGTCCAGTGAAGCCACCTTAATGTTTAGCGCCTGAAAAACACCCGAGAGGCCCCTGTCGCTCTGGAAACCCGAGAACCTTATCGTGTTGGTTCCTTTCTCCTTGCATACACGATGACGAGCATTTGTTGTTGGGTCAATCTCAACAGATGCAGCAGCTCGGATGCGGAAATAGGTAGGTTATAATAACAGCTTTGAAGTAAGTTGATGCCGGTTTATTCGCGACCTCTCATCTTCTCTTATTACTTTATTTCTTATATTCTTTTGGCAGATATTCACAATGCGCAGTCTTATCATACTGGCTTCTTTATGCCATCTTACCTCCTCACTATCGATCCCGGTTCACCCGAAGAAGAGGGAGGTTTCAGCTGGGTTTGCTATTTATAGCTGCACCCAACCAAACACTATTGCTCTCACCTTCGATGACGGCCCATTCGTGTACACCGATTCTGTCCTCGATCAGCTTGCTTCAGCTGGAATGACGGCCACGTTCTTCCTCAATGGCTACAACATAGGGAATATTGTGGACTACCAATCCACTGTCAACAGAATGATCGAAGAAGGACACCAGGTTGCATCGCATACGTATGTACAAAACATCGACCTCTTCAACTTGTAGTCACTGACATTATGCAGCTACGGCCATCCAGATCTCGCAGGCCTAGGTGATTTCGACGTTGAGCAGCAAATGTCGCTCCTGAGCAACGAGTTCATCAACATCATCGGCAAGTATCCTGTTTACATGCGTCCTCCCTATTTTAGCTTCAATGCCCGAACTCTTGGAGTTCTAGGTCAGTTGGGCTACAAGGTTATTATCGCTGATATCGACACCAACGATTGGCAGTACTCGTCGTTTGGCGGTGCCGAACCCTCTCTAGCTTCATACTACGCTGGGCTCAACGATGGTGGATCCATTGTTCTTATGCATGACGTTCATCAGAATACTGTTCAGAATATCCTTCCTCGAATCATTCAAGCAACTCTTCAAAGTGGAAAGAGAGGTAAGCTTTGCGTCTCTTCTTCCAAGATGAGTCTGACTAATTCTTATCTAGCTGTGACCGTGGGGGAATGTCTTGGAGATCCCGAGACAAACTGGTACGGAGGTGGAGCAACCCAGACACCAGAATGGAATGGCACCGACACGCAGGTCATCCCCGTCATCCAGACGCCTGCACCTGAGAGAGCAGTTATATGGGAATAATTGTGTTTCAGGTCTTTGGGGGAAGTCATAATATGGTTATAATAAAAAGATGCGAGTCGCGACGATCACTTCAATTTAAATCTTATCTCCTTTCACTCATAGTCCCAGCTTCCTATTAGCCATCTCGCGCACCTCCTTCTGGCCCTGTGTCAAACCCTCTTCTTCCGTATCAAGTCTTTCAAGACCCATTGCCTGAAGGCCCTCTTTGGTAAGAATGTTCTCAACCTTGGCTCCGCAATCTTCATGGTCGTATTCCCTTTCCCAGGTACCATGGGATCGCGTGAAGTCGATCGGAACATCTCCTTTCTGGAAAGCTTCCCGCGTTGTCAGGAGGGATTCAATGTTGTAGGGTGTCAACGGATTACACGCGTTGTATGACACGCTTGAGTCGACAAGCCCTGGGTTCGTGGGATCCACGCCATGGACCAGGTCACAGTGCCAGAACACATAATCACCGGGTCGAACTGGAGGAACACCGACGATTGCTCGCTTGATGTCGAGATCCGGATGGCCCTCAACAGTTGGGAAGAACTGGGTTTGACCTGGAGTGGCACCCGGGAAGGTGGGCAGGGAATCGTTGTACTCTCCGGTATGGAACAGAGGCCGTAGCATAATATATGCCATAGACAGCTTCAGACTGGGCAGTACTCGCAGTGTTCCCTCACCAGTCTGTGTGTTCGAAAGGGACAGCCATCCTTGGAGGCTTCTCCATACTGAGCAAGCTGTTCCCGTACGATAAAGATCGCTCTGGGCTTTCACACGGTGATCTGCAGACCACGCATCCCAATCCTGCCAGTTTCCTTCAAAAATGGCTTCGTAGTTCTTTCGGTTCTCTTCATCTTCCCATCTTTCGATGGCCCCGCTATCCATGTGAGGATCCAAGGGAAATTGCCCGGGATCATTGCTGGGATAGCGGATGCGAATGCGATCAGGGTAGATTACCTGACTGTCGAGGTCAATAGGGATTGTTGGATCAGACACGTGCCATAATCTGGAAACGCATCTCATGGCTTCCAAGACTCTTGGATGGGTTCGCATTTCCATCTGTGCTTTGGTCCAGAACACGTTCCAAGCTGCTGGTCTGTGGTGGGGGTGACCGCCTACGCCTGGATGACGCTGGGTGTAGTCCTTCAGAGACGTCTCCCAACTGACCGCTTGCTCTTCACTGACGACGTTTCGAAGAATCAGACAGCCTCGCTCATGCACCAGTTTGGTGAAGTCATCAGGAAGATTGCCACCTACAACCAAGTTAGACCAGGACTTCATGAGTATATCAAAAGAAGATTTTCATTGTTCCAACACACACCGTTCTTTTGGACGTCGGCGAAGTCAATTTCTGGAACCAGAGCAGCTCCATGCTTGTGTATATGATCGACTTCCTTGGGCAGAATCTTGACCAGACGCTCATATGACTCTATCACCTTCTGCTTGTTCTCAGGCTTGACAAGTGACTTTTTCAGGGCCGCAAATCTCTGGTCCAGCAGGTCACATCTATTTGTCGTTGTTAGCTGAGTGACTCAAACTTAACGACATGCCAAAGCATCTGTAGACGTACTCCAGTACAAGCTGCTGCGATAACTCAAGCTGCTCTGTTTCAGTATAAGACATCTTGCTCAAAGGATACAAATTCCAAGATGAATGCTAATGCAATTATAGACGACTGATGGCTTATCGGCGATTGCTCAGGAACCGGAAGTAACTTATTGGAATCAATGTGAGGCAGAAAGAAAGCGATGTGGTTAATTGGTACTCTGTATATAAAAGCAATTCGGTGAGGTCAGATACGGAACACTGATCGGCCATCATTCATCTCCACCTGGCCGTAAAGGCTATCATCGCTATTCTGTTCTCGGCCACCCTCGCTTTCAGCTGCAAAGCGAGAGGCACATTGCATGGCCCATGTGAATTAGCCGATCGCAGAATTGGTCATCTCATGTCTTGTCCCACTCACTAACCCAATCCCGCTAGCGCGACTCGACAGCTCAATTAACCGACCAAACGGCTGAAAGTGCCGACCATGTTGACGAACTTACCCGTTACCACCTGAATCATTTCGACCATTGGTACAGAGAGGGAATTTGTTACTTTATACCGAGCTGCAGTGGGTTGAACAAAGCCAAATCATAATGATGCCTATTAATGCGCCTGTGATTCTACCCAATTTGCATTTATCCAAGTTTTTACGCCTTACCATCTCGATTTGTTCGACGGCTCCGTTATTTTTTTAGCCATGACACTTCAGACTTTTGATGTCAACAAGCCGAAAACATGGCATTTAGCAGCGACGATTGACAATGAGTTACAAGAAGTCAGTACATAGTCTACATGGTAGCTATCAACGTTTATAATCACTAACCAGAATTATGTAGATGATAGAAAATGGAACAAAGGGGAGGTTCACAGGCGATGCCGAGCACCTTACCCTAGCGCAAACGCGAGCCAAGTTTGACAGTCTCTTCCAGCAAGATGCTGATGTTCTTCGTTCGCAAATGCAAGATGAGGTGTCTGAGCAAGAGATTCACATTCCTGTCAAGGATGGATTCAAAGTCCGAGCGCTTGTTTATCGTCGCAAGACTGACCAGTCGAAGACGGATCGACCACTTGTAGTGCTTATTCATGGCGGAGGCTTCATTCTAGGCAACGCAGAGATGGAGATGCCAACCTGTGTTGAAGCAGTCCGAAGATACGATTGCGTCGCAGTGAGCTTGGAGTATCGGCTTTCTCCAGAAGTCAAGTTTCCAGTTGCATATAACGATTGCTGGGACGCTCTCACATGGGTAAGTCAATTGTTCCAAGAAGACTTCTTTCACTAAACATGGGCGGCAACAGCTATCCAAGAACTCGACCTCTCTTCAGGCTGACCCAACGCGTGGCTTTGTCTTTGGTGGTACTTCGGCTGGTTCACATCTCAGCATCCCCTTGGCTCACCAAGCTCGGGACGAAAAGCTCTCACCTCCACTCACTGGGCTATACCACTGCGTTCCGCCTGCTCTGATGCCACAAGCACTTACTGACAAGTATAAACCTCTCTACAACAGTAGAGAACAGCTGAAGGATGGTATGGCACTCACTGCAAAGTCTACAGAGGTTTATGACAAGGCTGTCGAACCAGACTTCGCTTCGCCGCTTTGGAATCCGCTCCTTTGGCCAACTGGACATAGAGGCTTGCCACCATCGTTCTTCCAAATCTGTGGGGCTGACTTGTTGAGGGATGAGGCATTGATTTACGAAAGGGAACTTCGACTCGAGGGCGGCGTTAAAACCAGGACGGTTGTGTACGAGGGGTTGCCGCATGTATTTTGGTATGATTACCCGACTCATAGTGCAAGCGCCAGGTTTGCCAAGGACGCGGTTGATGGTTTGGGATGGCTACTTGGTCGGGAGAAGTAGTTTCCTGTGCCCCTTCCACGTATTACATTTATTAAACGGTTTCTCAAGATGATGTATGCATTTTGTGAAGTTCACCAACTGGTTGTATCTCAGAAAGATGGGAAGCAGATGGACTCGGACACCGTTAAGACCTTTGGCTCAGAGCTTATCATCATCACACAGAACTTAGTTAACTTCAAATATGCTGTCAAATACGATAGACCTTGTTTTTTGTATGCTGTCGAAGACACCAACGGCCGAAGAGGTGTAGCTGCAAACTCGGAGTCGCGGCGTTTCTGTCTCTACTGATTCTTCACTGCAACATCAATTAAAGTAGTTGGAACGTAGGTGACGTCGGTCAATTTTAGTGACAGCAGTTAAATGAATAATGTTAAAGCTAAAGCAGATGAATAAATTGGCTCGTTGAGTGCATCGATGGAGCCAGCGACATTGCGGTGCAAGCTCTAGCTGAAAAGGCTACTCCGTGGCCGAGCGTGCAATAGAGACAGATCGATCCTTTCCATCTTGATCTTTGGTCATAATCCCATCTTCACGAACCTCGGCAACTCCATGACCGTTGTAAACTACCCCTTCAAACAACTCATCAATCTCCTCGAGAGACAGTCCTTTTGTTTCAACCCAAAACACAGCAACAAAGATGGTCTCTAGAACATCCCAAGCTCCGATTATAAAGTAGAGGCGCCAGGAGATAGCCTCAAGCGCAATGGGGAACACAAGGGTGGTTCCAATGCTGCATCTACTGTTAGCATGGTCAAGATATGATGGACTTGACGGGGATCTCACGCAAATATCGCAATCGTTCCAGCCCATATAGCCATTCCGTTAGTACGGATAGAGTAGCTAAGAACTTCAGGAGGGTACAGTTGCGTAATAGGAGTGATGCCAACACTGTATGCACCCATAAAGAGGAAGATACAAGCGACAGTCCCATAGATCCCAGCGAGGTCTTGGCTAGTGCTGAAAGCTATGAAAGCATTAGCTTGAGAATATGTTCAAGGTCTGGCGCAGCTTACTCTTTGTCAGTGCACCAATAACAAACATCAAGATGGTCATTCCGACGCAGGCAGAGAGACAGAGCGTTTTTCGACCAGCTCTATCCATAAGAAACGTCCCTATCATTGCACAAATAAGACACCAAGATTGCAGTACAATGTTCTGGACACAGTTAGCAACACATACGAATATGGGAACATCCTGACATACAATCTGTAGCTGCGTAGTCCTATTGGTGATGCCAGCGTTCGCGAGCATGTCTCCAAGGAAAAAGGATGCAATGTTATTTCCTATTGCAGTCAGTATATATAGACTACTAGCATGCCAATCTGGGACCTACCGCTTGCCATGACGATGACAGCTACTGAAACTGCAAGCATGAGTCGCCTCCGAGCAGAACGAGTCGTGAAAAGCTCAGTATATGATGCTGTCTTGCCTTCGGATCGCTCCCTTTCTCTGCTATCGATCATGCCTTGATATTGTTCACGAACTTCCTGGTTTGACTGATCTCCATTGGCAGAAATTGACGCTATGACTTGGAGAGATTCCTCCAACATATCTTGATGGGAAAGCCATCGGGGCGATTCGGGAGTCAGGAAGAGGCAGAAGATGCAGATCAAGGAGAACATGCTCTGTAAAAGAATAGGAAGGCGCCAGGACCACTCTCCGGAGATTTCGGCAGTACGATAGGTAATGCCTGCGGAAATCAAGGCACCAACGTAGTAGACGGAGAAGGTAATGCTTAGACCGAGTCCGCGAATCTTGGGTGGAAGAGTCTCCGCGAGCCAACTGTATTGAAGAGAGGTTAGCTAAAGCAGCTGGTTACGCAGGACAGAGGGCATTCTTACGTTGAACCGGCAATGCTTGAAAGTCCAGAAGCCACACCCAGAATAATTCGACCAGAAAGAAACATGGCAAAGTTTTGGGAGCCAGCAACCAATCCAATGCTGAAAAGCTTGGTCAAGAGAGCCACCAAAATGGAGTTCTTGCGACCAATCGCGTTGACGACGGGACCCATGGTCAGGGATGCAATGCCCCATCCGATGAAGTTTGCAGACACGTTCAAGGCACGAGTAGTAGTGTTGAGATTTAGAAACTCGGTGTAGGAGGGTATGATGTTGATTCCGCTCATGAGCGCCGAGTCGTAACCGGCAGTCGTCGCGTAGACCGCCGCGCTTGCAACGAGGAGCATGACTGTAAGTCGACTCGATTTGGGCTGAAAAGGCCCAATGATACCCGTTGGTGACCACATGATGCTGGCGATTTGGAGTATTGTTAGATTAAAGGCAAAGTGCAGGTGAAAGTAGAGGTCTGGAGAGTCGGAACGGAGGACATTGAAGGCTGTTCGATCGTGAAGATTAAGTATCAAATGAGGTCTTGGTAGTTCAGATAGATGAAAACGCCACAATCTTGAGACCAAGCAGCTTATCAATAGTTGTCTCCCTATTGGGATTGGCCATATCTCTCCCAGCCTGCATATTCCATCCCGAGTGTTTGGTTACTGGGGAATCTGGAGTGCAGAATGCGGGGTGAAGGCGAATGTGGAGAGAATGGTCTAGATTCTGCAAAATTGGACAAGCGAAAATGTCATCGGGTAATTCTAGACAAGTCAACGCTTGATGCCGATCGGCAATTTCGTAAATTCTGCTATGGATTCTCCTATCAGCAGCCCTGGCAGAGCAGAAATCGCGGAAACGACTCGACACGGAACACTTCGAAATAGCCCGCTGTTCTTTCATCCAGTGGCCGACCTGCCACAGCAACCCGTATAGCTTGATAAGCTTGCCGATAGTTCTCCCCATGGGATGCAAGCTCGCTAAACCGCTCCAGTACCCAAGATCTATGCAGTATATCGTCTGACTCGATCACCACCACGAATAATGGCCAACCTAGCCGGGCTAGACCTGTCTCTCCCTGGTCTCGATAAACCTTGAAGGCTAGCGACATGATCTCTTTCATGGCCTCGCGTTGCTCTGGTGCCATTGGTTCTTGTCCGTGAGTAATGCGGAGAAAGCAGACAAAGATCGCGTGAAAGCAGGAAACGACCGATTGCATCTCCATCACGAACCGTCTATGGGGTCCATCATCGGGTAGTTCGAGGCGGTTGGCCACGCTTATCAACTCTCCATATCTAGATCTGACGTTGCGGATGGCACCTGCGACAGATTGTCTCCACGAACCGTGGGGGACATTATCTCGATACTCAGCTGCAGCTAGGGCACCGACCATAAACTTCAGCTGAGCGGACTCAGCATCGAAACATGATAGGTCACTACACTGCAGATCCTCCAACAGCTCTGTCTGGGGATACGACCTTCCCCACAAGTCATAGTTGGCAAGAACAGATCGCTTTTGCAGTCGTCTGACCCGTTCCAAGCGATCGTGCGCTTCGCTCTCGGACATGCCAAGTGAAGAGTCTCCCAGAAGGTTGTTGAAAGCCCCGCCAAAGCCATTCAGAACAGCACCTCCATCAGCGTGCGAGAGCCATATGAGTATCTTACAGGAGACAGAGCAAAAGCTCTCAGCTTCAATAATATGTGACACATGGTACTCACTACTTTCGCTGCTGGTGAGTTGCGATCGACCCAATAATATAGAAGTGGCGCCTCGTAGATGTGCATCAAAGCCAATACCACAACCATCGCCAAACTTGAGTTCATACAAGAGCATGAGCCACAAGGTAGCTAGAACAGGTGGTAGATAAGTGATCTCGCTAGGGATCTGCGTAGCCGCAGCGAGCATCTGCAAACCATCTCTATAGTGTTGGATAGCTCTCAGTCGTCTGAACTCAGCATCTGACTCAGACCCAGTTGTCTTCTCAGACCAGGACTGGCCACTGACTGCGCATACCATGTGAAGGACCATGGGGCTCTGCTGAGCTAACTTCCAGACCAGCCCGGGACCGCTGTGCATCGATATCCGCGTCCCTACCATTCCTGGAAGGACAAATCGGAAGAAGTGGATTGCCGAGTGATCGGAAGGAAACAAGATAGCGGCACAGTCGGGTGAGAGCTCAAGTGCAAGGCCATCGTCGGCAATGGTATTCAGTGGTGGTAAACTGATGTCTGCACTCTGAGTATCGGATAACGGTCCGCCTTCAAAACCTTCGCAGTAAGCCTCACCAGAATATGGATGATCACCAGGGGCTGTGAAACTGGTGCTAGGCGTTGACGCCACATCTGCACTGGCGATCAAGTTTGCAGGAGACGATGCAACAGGAGAAGCGATAACGCGCCTGGTATACTTCTTGCGTGGGAGGCGCGTATAGTCGCAAGTCAATTCCAAGCGGATGCATCGTCGGCAAATCGGTCGCGTCTCGTCGCACTTGACCTTCTTCACCCGACACGTCTGACATCCGCCTCGTGACCGTTGGGTCCTCGGCTGCTGTTGGAGTTGGGATTGCGATTGGGATCCCGATGAGTGTGGCGACTCACGGCTCGGGCTTGGAGAACCCATGTGAGATTAAGGGTTGTGTCAATCGCCTATTTCTGGATCTGTCAGGCTGCAGTAATTGAGGAATCAAGAGCGAGAATTGTGGAGTGAAAAGGCGAGGGGGCCGGTTTGTTTTAGCCTCGGCATTTTAGTAAAAGAGTAATAGTCAACTGACTCAGGGAGCTTGTCCATATCTGCAACATCCGCTAGCCTGGCTTACCAAATTGACTATTGGGAGAAGCCCTCACACTGTTGATCTTGATAGTGACTTTATCAATAATTTCTCTCCTTTATTACTAAACTGCAGTCTGGCTATCAAGTTGATAGCGACTTTGGAATGATTCGAGATCATGGTAAGAAACAGGAAGCTCCTGTTGTTCTCTTCATGGAGAAACCGTCCTAAAGGTTATACTTGGATACACCGACAACATCTTCATACTTGCTCGAGCGCATCCACCTGTCGAAGCTCAAAGGGTACTAATATACAGGGATCTTGAAAGCATTGAAGTTGTATGTCCAACTCTCAATTGACTTCTCGTCATCAACACACGCAAAGCTCTTATCATTCTCCCAAAGAGGTCGCTTGGGCCATTGACACAACATCTGCGTCTCTCCTTTATAGTCGCCAGAAGAAACAGTAGCATTAAGTCTCGATGGCTGTTTACCATTCTCGACCCAGTCGATCATAATGTTCATGTTGTTTTGAGGATAAGGACCTGGCTGGAGAGAATTTGTGCCGCAGTGAGCAGCTCCAGGCACGAGATAGAACTGGTACCATTCAGAAAGAGCCTTCTGTGCCTTCTCATCGGACAGTTTTGGATACATGATGGATCGGACAGACTGCCAGTAGTGAACGGAAGAACCTGCTGGGATGCTGGGATCTGATTCGCCATGGTAGTGGAGGAGCTTGCCACCAGCTTCCTTGAAAGTTGTGAGATCGGGATGAGTGGTCTGTAGACTGTCGTAGTAACGGACCATACCAGTGTCCATCCAGTCCACTAGAGTGTCATACGTGACATTGTTGAGGTTCTCGAGGTTATCTAGCTCAAGTAGCTCAATAAACTTTGCAACGTACATGCCACCAGTAGAGGGGATGTTCAGAGTCCACTTGTCGGTTTTGTTGTCGTAGCTGGGCTCACCATCAGATAGTTCAGAGCCAATCTGCCAAGACAGATACGCTCTTTCGTCCTTGCTGTTGAAGACGCCATCGTAAATAGCTCGAGCAACGGCAACACCCTCAGCAGTAACGGTGCCATTCTGCTCTGGGGCATCGCTCGTCTGGCTGCCGGGAGCCTGTCTCTTGCTGAATCCAAAGCCAAGTGAAGAGCTGGTCTCAGCTGCACAGTAGTACTCTTTGCCAATGAGTGACTTGAGGTTGAAGTGAATCTTGCAAAGATCCGTTCGGGAGATGACGCCATCTTTCCTTCCATCGAGAGCGTCGCAGGCCTCGATAGTGGCGTTGACGATCTTCTTGAGCTCACAAGGAGGGGGGTAATAGTCAAGTGTTTGCTCAACGGCGGCAGGGTAGACGTGCAGGACTTGTTGCTGCCCGAAGCGAAACGCAGGAGCTCCAGCGATGACACCGTCATACTCGTCGCCCCATCGTTGAACCTGGCTCATTCCCTCTCGTCCGCCATCCGAGCAGCCCTCGTAGTAGGTATAGACTTTACTCGACTTTGAAATGTCATAAAGGTTCTTGGTGATATACTTTCCGATCTTGGTCATCTCTCCGAGGGCTTGATAAGAGAACATGTATGTCGCATCCCAGTTGATGGAACCGTTGCCGAGAAGGAATTTCTCGTCGAGACTGTAGTTGAAGGCATCGTATCCACCATCAGTGGCTCCTGCAGCAGCTCCATACTTGAGGCCGCCAGTAGTATCAGTGTTGAGAGAGTAACCACCTCCACCCGCAACATAGAACCGGTTTTTGAAGTTTTCGGGATCAGGAAAGGCATACTTGAGGTTGACTGTGTCACCCTTGGTGCCATGGGTGTACGCGACAGTGACGTTACAGTAGTTGTAAGTATCGGTATCACGCCTCATTGGCCCACCTCCCATACCGGCACTAGCATTATAAACCGCCGTAGAAACTGTGACAGTAGATGGGATCATATCAATTCCCAGAAGGGTTCCATTGGAGGGCAGCGCAGCTTTCAGGTTCGAGAGGGTGCATAGTTCCGAAAGAGAGGATGCGAGGGATGGCGAGGCTAGCAAAGCCATAACGACCCCGAAAGACTGTCGCATGATAGAAAGTGAGATATTCAAGAGCGAAGGGGAATTATGATAAAGTGATGCTCAATATGGGGTGCTGGTTGCTCGACATGGCGCAAATCGTTCATGGTTTTATACTCATTCGACGACTGCGGCTTCGTCACCAACAGGTCCGAGCCGGAATCTGCCACGCGTTAATTGTTCCATATTTAAGAGTTTGTTGCAAAGACCTAAATTAGAATGAAGTAATTGATTGAGTCGAAAGCTGGTGGCGATCCGAAATTGGCAAGGAGGCTTAGACTAGATGCCCACTTTCCGCGTGTGGAGGTGTTCCGAGTTAAAGTGGGGGCATACTTAAAGTTGGGGACATGGCAATAAAAGATGAAACCAAGTTTTATCAATGGCTCGGATACAGTTAGCAAGATGGCGATGTCTCGATAACTGCGAGAGGTCATTAGTTAATGAGATGTCTATGACATGAATACAAAGCGTCTAGTGAAATACGTCTGTACATAGAAAGATTCAGAGACTCTAACAGATGGTCTGGCTGCACTTGCTCAATCCCAATATATTTAGAGCATAATGCAATAGTCAGTTGATTGAGGAAGACATAGCGAAATCGATTCAAATAGCATTTGAAAAGATTAAAAGTGCGTGAAGACATCTCCTTTACCCGAGTTGCTCACGAGCGTGTTCTCGGTCATCTCTTTGGACAGTCATATACCTATGTCTATATAGACTACTGCAACAGGCAATGCTGGTCATGGATACCAAAGAACATTACAAATTCATGCACCCGAGTACAGGATTCTTCAACCCTCCACTTGACTCTTAAAGCGTTTATCCATGCACCTGACAACGGCCCAAAGATGGGCTTCTCCTCAAGGCCATTCCAGAAGCCGCTGTCCTGTATTGCTCATGTTGTTAGAGACCAAGTTCGTTTAAATCTGTTTATCGAAACGGGAAGCTCACCGTGGGAGGGTGGGAATTAACAGGAGGATTTGGCTGGTCCTGCCTTTCCTGTGGTGCCCTTCTTGGGTATACAGGTGGACTTGCAACATGGGTTTCTGAAGTCGCAACTGCTGCTACCAACCGAGTTGACCAAGATGTAGTTGATGTTCTCACAGTAGCACACACAGCCTTTCTTTTCGAGCGGCGTTGCCGTGGCGAGTGACATGTACAAGGTACAAGCAAAGAGGAATAACTTGACTTGCATATTGGGAACTTTGGTGATCGGTAAGGTAAGGAAATTGTTGTCTGTTTGGCTCAGTTAGCAGAGGATGTAACACTACCTTATATAGATAAGTAAACCCTCATTGCTCTGTCAACCCACGAGAGCTTATAGGATCTTGGTCTAGTCTCGTCCAGTATTGCCAAAAATGGGGCTTCCATACCAGCCAGCCACGTGCAGTCAATGAGGTTCTAGACGCTTGCTCTTAGCCCCTTTGGTTTTTGTTTAATCGATAGCTGTTTATCCCTGGTCCTCGAGGCCTGCTAAGTCTGCCATGGTGAATATAAGCTCTCAGCCACAGGTCTCAACTGCAAATAACACACCTAGCTCATAACTCCTTCGAGGCTTGCAACCCAAACTTGTGAGCAAACAGAGTTGCCGAAATACCAACGCATTACTTCAGCAGCTTCAGTCCTTTCACGCGGCTCAATACCTATTTCACCACCTGCCTCGCTATTATGAAACATTTAGACAGGTAATGCACCAGCGTTACTCCCTGGTGCTTCAATAAGCGGTGAGGCCTCCATTGTGGCTTGATCCACTGGAACCAATACGATCGAATGAGAATGGACTCATCCAGCCTTGAACACAGCTAGTCTGAGTTGGAGCAAAAGTTACAATGGCGCTTGGTTGTCCGTTATCTAGTTTAGATAGTGGCCTTGTTTGAGCCAGCCATGTTTACCTCTTCTGCCAATGCGACAAATTCTCAGCCAATGGGAATAACTCCAATGCTCTAAGGTATGCAATGGTACCGATAATTTGGGACGCTGTCTTACAAACTTGGGTCTATAGTCATTTCCAGTATAGGAAACAGCCAAGTTTAACATTCCAATAAGCTACTATTGGCTGTCTGACAGCCGCCAAAGCAAGCTGGCTGGGTTACTCAAACTATATGCATATTTTCAGCCAGCCATTTTGCCAACTGGTTTACATTCAGTAATTTGCTAACGGCGTTCTTGTTGTTTTTGGCAATTCATGAGAAGAGCTGAAATCTCGATGAAATGGCATCGTATTGGTGATGTCACTACATGATTGGCTACTCGGCTATTGGGTCGAGAAGTTGCCGATTAAGGGCGCGAGTGACAAGTTCCTGCAATATCCCTTCACCCTACATTCAATCAAGCCATCCAGCCATTGTAGACATATGTGCACTTGTTATTCTTGGGTCTGAGTTGTATTGGCAAATATTCAAGGTTTCCCAGCTTTCACATCCAAGGCAATCTCCTCGCCACATCCCGCTATCATGCCGACACCGGAGCAAGCCTCAGAATTGAGCAATATTCACATACCCGATGCAAACGAGGCCTCACGTAGTATTGACCGAACAAACTACAAATCGACTGATGTCTTGAAGGAGGTCTGGACAGGTCTTGGTCTACCCAAGACCTCTTCGACAGCTGTCAGGCTTCCTGGTAAAGAAGGCCCAGCCCTTCCTTCGTCATTCAAAATCGGAATCCTCGGACAAGCCTCTATCGGGCTTTCTGCGCTTGCGGCTGCTCAGGTTCATGCCTTGCGAAACAAGATCCCCCTTCCTACAGTCACGGTGCCGCTCGAGCACGCAGTCGTAGAGTACAGGTGCGAAAGATTATATACCGTTTCTGACGAGCTTGCTTCTTCATCAGGGGGCGCTATCGGTGGATTGCATAAGACCTCAGATGGCTACGTTCGAATCCATGACGGATTTCCAAACCATGTTCAAGGTACTCTTGACTTGCTTGGCTTGAAAGCTGGTGCAACTCGGGACCAGGTATCTCAGCAGACTGCAGATTGGGCTAGTATTGATTTGGAGAACTGTGGAACGGCAGAGGGTAAAGTCGCGATATATGCTCTGCGCTCATACCGTCAGTGGGATAAGCTCCCCCAGTCGAGGGCCATCAGCAACTTCCCTATTAGCATCAAGCAGGTCTCTCAGTTGTCTCCAGTTGGGCTGCCAAGTACGATGCAGCCTGGCAATCTCAAGTGCCTACAAGGTCTTCGGGTTGTTGAGATGAGTCGGGTGATTGCTGCACCGTTATGCGGCAAGACCTTGGCGGCCCATGGAGCCGAGGTTATTTGGGTGACTTCACCAACACTGCCAGATCTGCCGAGGGTTGACCGGGAATTTGGGCGAGGTAAAAAGACTGTCCAACTTGACATTCACAAGTCTGAGGATCGAAAGCAGCTCCTCAACCTTCTCAAGGACTGCGATGTGTTTGTTCAAGGTTATCGACCTGGAAGTCTTGCCTCATACGGTCTGTCCCAAGATGAGTTGAGGAAGATCAATCCAACCATCATCATAGCCAACATGTCTGCTTTCGGCCCGGAAGGTCCATGGTCAGGCCGTCGTGGATTTGACTCGCTTGTGCAAACATGTTCGGGCATGAATGTCTCTGAAGCTGAACACGCTGGAAAGGGCGAGGCTGCTCGCCCAACACCTTGCCAGGCCCTCGACCATTCAGGTGGCTATATGCTTGCAGTTGGCGTCATGGCTGCTGTGTATCATCGTGCTGTCAACGGCGGTTCATGGAGAGTCGACGTTTCATTGGCGGGTATGATGAAGTATTTGAGAAGCCTCGGCCAGTACCCTGGAGCGAGTGGTTTTGAAGCGAAAGACTTTGAAAAGCCCGATGATGTGCCTGAGGATTATTTCGAGATCCAGGAAACAGGCTTTGGCACCATGAAGTCCATCAGGCACAGTGCTACTATTGAGGGTCTAGAGGTTGGCTGGGATATTATGCCAAAGCCACTTGGCTCCGATAAGCCTGCGTGGGATTAAAGTACTATCATCACTCGCTCAGCCTTTCAACGAATTTTAGAAGATGTTCCCCCCTTTTGATGCCTTGTGTGTCGCTTCTCCCTGTCAATACTTCATGTGTATTTGCGGTAGATCCCAATGCAAAAAGGATTCTTCACAGGTTAAAGCCTGCATCTGGCCATTAGCATTGAATTTCATTGAAAATTATTCGATAGTGCAGTGTGGCGTAACGACTTGCCCCTGGCTCAAGCTTATCTGACCAAGGTTATTGGCCACTGTTCGCGATAACCCTATTCAAAATAGTGGTGCATGTCACTCCAACAGAGTCTAGACTTTCAGCTGAACAGCCACGCAATTTGCGACAATCAGCAAACAAAAAGACATGACTTCCTTCTTCTTAACACTTTGTCTCAGTTTCATTTTCTCGACCCAGTCATTCTTTTATGCCTTTGGGCAGTTTTCATTCTTTCCTATTCATTATTATGGCTAAATCTAAGCGCATTGTGGCTGCTTTGGCCTACCTCAGCATCGTTGCCGTCAGCGCTAGCCCATGCAAGCCGCATACTACGACTGATAACACTGAGACAACTTCTTCTATCACCTACCAATCAACTGTATTAGGATCTGTTACCATACTACCATCTGTTACTGAGACTAGTACCTTGATTGTCAGCTCTGAGACTGAATTGGCCACGGACTCTACCGATACCACTACTACCGCCGTCGGGACTTCTACGACTGGGTTCTCTTCAACAATTGAGACAACAACTAACGCTGCAGCCACCACGTCTTCCGCTGCTCCTGAGATCTTTTGTGCCAACCAAATCTATCGTGGCAATGCTTTAAGCCGTGGTTACACAACAACTCAAGCCACCAGTGAGCAGGAATGCTGGGAGAACTGTGTTGATGATGAGAACTGCAACTCGTGGTTCTACCTTACAGCAGGAGCTTGCAACCTCTACACAGAGACCTTGCACCAGTTCAGTGCTCCCTCTAATGAGGAGGGTCTCTTGATTGGATCCCGCAACTGCTCTCCTCGAGACTATCAAGAGTGCAACGGCAACATAGGCTTTGGTTGGATTGATAAAGAGCCCGATGAGCATAACAGCAATGTCGTACTCGAAGCCGACTGTGCCCATATTTGCATGAAGAACGGCCTCTGCGATGTTTGGCAATACGACAGTCTCTCCCAGACCTGCAACATGTTTTCCGGCTCCTTTTCAGATATGGTCACTTTGGACTCTGACGGTACAGCATCGGGCAGAAAGATGCTCATCGGTGCGCGAAGCTGCTCTTCCGACTTCTTCAAACCTGTGCTTGGGGCATGTAATGGTCAAATGGCGTGGAACAACAATTGGCCACAAGCTTACAGATCTTTCGACCAGTACAAGACCGTTGCGACGTGTGCAAGAGCCTGCTCGATCGACCCAATGTGCTTATCCTGGTATGTTTGGGATGGACAAGGTGATTGTGAGTTTTCGCAGCTTACTCTCTGGTCTGATCCAACGGATATCGCTACGGCAGGTTCACGAAACTGTGGTGTTCCTTAAGGTCTCGTCGATCCTTGGGATTAACATTTGGTTGAGATGTAGATTCTAATTCTTAGACACTCCTTTTTTCACGGCCCTGTCCTTCTTATATATTGTACAATAGTCATTGCATATGCTTGATTGAGTATTCTCATTGCTAAATAAATAAATTCTCTCCTGCAACCAGGATGCAAGCAAGGCAATGCTGAATAATGAAACAGAATTTGTTATTCCCAGATCAGATATCAACTGACTCATTTATCTCTTTCACTGCCTTGGTAGTATTTCGCTAATGACAAGAATAAAATCAAGAGAGAAATACATCTAATAATAGTGGAGGCTTGATCTTGCTGGAGGAACAGGGGTTGGAAAAGGATATCCGACCTATCTGCTATGGATCCTAGCCTTATAATCACTTACTTATGGTCTAGACATAGGATAAGGGGTTGAATAAAAAAGTGCGTCTGTGGATTTCATGGCATTTGTGGATCTTGATTAAAAGGCTACCATCAATCAGCATCATAATCCTGAGTAAAATAAGAAATCCATATTGAGGCTATGTTCGGATCCTTCAACTCGGACTGCTTTCGCACTTTTTTCACCATTCTCACCAACTGCGAATGCGAGAAGACTGTCGCTTGGTGCAACTAATGGTGATTCACCTTCTATTTTAGCCACCTTTTCCTCGAACTTTACTGGGCCACCAGCATGACAGGGGTCTTGCATCGCCTCCTCCCGCTCCGGTACATCGTAGCATTGCCAGCCTTGACATTCTCGCCTAAAAGGCGCATGCATTTAATCCCATTAGCACCATTCTACCAGGACCTGGAACTGGCGGCAATGCAATGATACGTCACATTTAAAGGCTCTGCGCCTGAGGCTTGGTGAAACTCTAACCTGAAGCCAGCGGATTAATAAAATTCCTTATATATATTCTGCACATCTTAGCATCCCCAATCTGTGTTTGGGAAATTTGGAATGACCATTGTTTCATTCAATCGGGATTTCATCAGTCATGGTCAACACTGGGAAACCTAGCCGTGGGTGTGCGACCTGTAAGAAGCGAAAAATAAAGGTAAACATATATAGACTTCCACCTTGGGAAATCTCGATATTATTGATGGCATCTCTAACACAAAGCAGTGCGATGAGCTAGCCCCATCATGCACGCAGTGCAAAACGGCTGGATGGGTATGCCCAGGGCCCTCGGAAAGTAAAATGTTCTTCCGCAACCAGACCACTGCAGATCTTGCCAGAAAGAATGCTGGGGCACTGAGTACAGCATCATCAAGCTCTGCAATGACCCCGGACTCTGAAGTATGGAAACGACCTGTATCTCCCCCAGCACGGGACAGAGCTACTACTTTCTTTATGCGGCAGTACGTCTTTGATATGACTAGTGCAGGAGGAACCTTGCCTTTAAGGGACAACCATGAGTTTCTTCCAGGCCTCATACGCAATCAACAGTCCTCTTTCGGGCTTCTCAGCACAACAGTAGCGGCTGCGGGGTTTGCTGCTCTTTCTAATGCCGGCAACGTGTCAGAATGGCGGGCAGAAGCATTCCGTCTTTATGATAGTGCCATTCGTCAGTTGCAGATTGCCCTGCAAGATCCTGTTCAGAGAGTGTCTGATGAAACGCTTGGTGCAGTATTGCTAATGGGGACCTTTGAGGTGCGGCCTCGCTTATCTCATACTCGAATTTTACGTACTAATTCGTACTAGACTATTGCTTTTGCAGACACTGGCTCACTAAAAGCGTTCAGCCAACACATTATCGCTGCAGCGAGATGCATCGAAATGCGTGGACCAGCCCAGTTCCAGACCGTGGTTGGCTTGAAGATGTTCATGCAGATGCGGCGCATCATGGTAAGACGGATTCCCGCTTGTGGGCTACACCCACTGACCCAGGACTAGATCACAACATGCCACCAGCTGCAGGAACCCATACCATTTGAGATCTCAAAATGGTCGAGTTGGGCCGAAAGAAGCCAGAACAGCGACCTTGTCCCGGTCAATCGCTTTTCCGAGATCAATGAGGTCTTAGCTAGTGTCCGCGCTGAGCTCAAGTACCAACATATCACAGACCCAGCTGTGATTTCTGACAGGCTTCTTAAGATCGATAAGCTTTTCGAAGACTGGGCACAAACGCTACCACCAAGCTGGGTGTATAAGTCTTACAGATCCATCGGTCCTAACGGCGTGCCTTCTAGTAGATATGATCTACAGTACGACATGTATACAGATCCCTGGATAGGTTGCGTGTGGAATTGTTACCGCAATGTCAGACTTTTGATTCACGAGTCCATTATTATAGCTACGCTCAAACACGGCACTGCAGAGCAAAAAGACGCATTGCAAAGCTCAGCTAAAGTCCTAGCCGCGATGGCAGACGGGATCTGCCACAGCGTTGCATACCATCTTGGATACCGTGCTCAAGACGATAGGTTTGAGAGTTTTGCTCAGACAATGCATCTAGGCAGCAATCCGATCCCCGGAGGTTTCTTACTTATTTGGCCTCTATTCTTTGCTGGGATACAGAGAACCACTTCCGCTGATCAGAGGCAGTGGGTTGGTGCAATGATGAGAAGGATTGGAGTGCGGATGGGTCTACAGTTGGCTGTGTCAATGGCTGATTTGCTGTTGGAGACAGAGATACAGGATCTTTCGTTTTCGAATTGCGAGACATTTTTGATCGGCGAATGGTATCCGAACTAGGCAAATAATATTTCTGTTCTCACTATCGCTTCCTCATTGCTTCACTGGCTGGCAACACATCTGCTGTCCTCCCCTCTGTCGCATCCGCATAATTTGATGACGGCTTGGTGATTGTCCAGGATGTGACCATGTTACAGGGTTGCTGGTAGGGCTATCCGGCCAACAGGACCGAACCCTTGCAGTCTCATAAGCCAATTACCCTGGTCTCCTCAAGTGGAGACGGGCGATGACTTATCCAAGCTAAAGCTATTTCTAGTTAGCCATGCGAGAGAGCCAATCACCGTTGCAAATGTCCCATGTTATGCCAAGAGTGTTCCTGTCAGATGTAAGGTTGACTATTAGGCCTAGTAACCGCCTAAGCGGCCGCCGCGTATCTTGTTATTGTTAGGGTGCAGTTGCGGATCACCTCGGTCAGATATTTATATTATTGGTCGATGCAACTGTTGAAAGGTTATTCCGGGTATAGGTCTATATTATTGGACACTGATATGCCTGTAGCAAGTCTGATGATCCGCCAGACTGGATTCATAATGATTTCAAATTCATGCTGCTGAAAACACGGCAAATTCCGTCATACTGGGCTTTAGCCAACAAAAGCTTCTGCAGATCTGATTCACTATCCAAAAAGAAACCAAGCCATCAAGCCATTAGAGACTGCTAATCATGTTTCACTGAGGAAAGTCATAGCAGTCTTCAGGCGGTATGCAATGCAAGAACAATATCTATCAGACAGCAGTTCACGCCGATTCAGAATGAGCTTTGGAGGGGATTTCTGAGCATAATAGCTTGAATGCTTTGACACCAGAGGCGAACCGATACTTTTCGGTCTATTTGAAGTCCCGGGGAGTATCATTAGTCTAAGTCTTGGCATTTCGGTACTCTAAATACCATTCATGTGTCCAGAAACTCCATTAGTGTTCCCAGTCAAGGCAGAACATGTCCAGGAGGCTGGGTCAACGCAAGGTAGCCACGACACCTTTTCTGACTAGCGTCACGTACCCTCGGAGTAGATTGGCCGCTCCGCAACGCTTACCGTTTTCCATATCCAGCTGTGCCGTGACAGATGAGAGTTGGGATGTCGATCCTTGTACGTCGATCCTTCAATACTGCAAATCCACGACTGTTTTCATTTTATCACGCAGCCACGTTTGGATAGATTGGATATGATTACCCGTACATATCAATGCGCCCAAAATCAGCTTTAATTTAGGTGCATAACCTTAACTGAAGTCACAGGGATTTGTTCCTGTGCCCTTCCCTGTTTCATAACCTTTGGGTGGAGGCTAAGGATGAGCTTATTCCTTTGAAACAGTTACACGACTGTGAAGTCGGGGTCTCAGCGAGGATCTCATGCGAATGCGAAAGTGGCAGTGTTTTGTAGATCAGTTTTAGTAGTATAAGAACGGATGTGAGATCCTGATAAAGTCTCTCTCGAAGCGATAGGGACAGAGTCCTATAGTAATCTTTTTCATCTGACTTCTGGTTCCGACCAATATCCGTTTCCTATTTCTCTCTTCCAACCTTGAAGCTAGCTTCTATCACAATGAACGAGACGGGGAACTTCGTCATATTTGGGCCCAAGGCCAACTGTAGCTTGGAAGTACGTATCTTCCCACATTAGATCCAGTCCATAGCTGGTACCTACCTCTGAGCCAAGCCATACAAGCTTTGGCATTGGCTACCGTTCTTTGCTAACGATCTTATTAGCTTTGCCCTATCGAGATGAGCGTTTACGGCTACCGACCTTCTCTTCCTGCCAATATTACTTTTGCCGCTTTATTCACCTTCGCGACTTTCGCGCATGCCTACTTGGGCTTCAAATGGAAAACACCCTGGTTCATGTGGTGCATGATCCTAAGCTGCACACATGAAGTAACGGGCTATGTAGCGCGTATTCTGCTCTGGGTCAATCCGTGGAGTTTTGGTGCATTTATTACCCAAATCAGTAAGTCCTTCAAACTGTCGATGACGAAAGTCGTACTAACACATTGCAGTTGCTATCACGCAAGCTCCTGTTTTCTATTGTGCCGCAATCTATGTCACCCTTGGCCAAAGGTATGCTTATCGCTATGCGGATATCGCCAATTAACTGACCTTTGTCCAGTATTGAGCATTATGGACCAAGCCTTGCTCGATTTCCCACCAAATACTTTGCCTGGGTATTTGTACCTATGGATATCATCTCGTTGATCTTGCAAGGTACTGGAGGAGGTCTCTCGGCGTCCTCATCCGGTGCTAGCCAGGTCGGGGTTGATGTCGCCATGGCAGGACTGATTCTACAAGTCATTATGCTGGTTACATTTAGCCTCTTGTTTGGTGACTACATGTTTCGATACCTACGATCGAAGAAGTCCCGAAATCTCGGGTCGAGAGACAAGCTGTTCTTTGCCTTCCTCGCCATTGCAGTCCTCGCTACTTTGGCTCGTTGTGTCTTCCGGGCCGATGAGCTCAAAGAGGGTTACCAAGGGGAGCTGATCAAGCATGAGGACTTATTCATTGCTTTGGAAGGAGTGTAAGTCTAGTCTTTCCACTTGTCATCGGCTATTCTGATACTCAGCGCCGTTTCCAGGTTGATTGTTTTGGCAGTCTTTTGCCTCTTTATTGCCCATCCTGGCTTTGTCTTCAACCGGCCAGCGAAGGTTTACTACTCTGTCGCTACTGGCACTGAAGCTACTGACGAGATGGCTTATCGATCTAAGCTTGCTGATCCTGTCAGTGAGTCAGAGCACTAGGGTTACCAAAGCGAGCATGGGCCCGAGTGCCAAGGCTAGCAGTGTTTATGTGTTTTTGGTGGCTTATCTGGGTTCAGGAGCAGCATACAAGGGCAATGGATTATATGACAGTAGTATTTAGTGCTGTAATAATGATATTTGTCCAGACTTGTGCCTTCCCTCATTAGCCCTTGGGAATTTTCGGCTTTGGAAAAATCTGTTTGCTATAACAGATGTATAAAGAATACGTTCTGGCACTTCCCGCTCCTCAGTCTGTCTTAATACCACTGTTCCGATCGTTCTTTAGCTCTTCAAGTAGAAGGGTTCAGTAATCTCTATGAGCGAATCTTCACAGCAACAACCTTGGCACCCTCTGTTTTGGTTCCATCGACAGGCTTTGCAAGTGCACCCGATGTGGAAACATACAAGGTCTTCTCCCCCTTCTTCCCATAACTAAATGCTGCAGCAGTCGAACCCGCAACTGTCATCTCGTGAATACCCCCGACGACAGTTCTCCACTTCCCAGTCTTCACATCAACAAAGACGATCGAATTGTCAAAATTGGTAGCGGCATAGATATTACCATTCGTGTCGAACTCGAAGTCATCGAAGAACCCAACACCGCTCGAAAGATCTGCGACGAGTTGAGGCTTGGCTCCCTTTTTCGGGTACCCAGCTGGTGTGATTGCAATACGGTATATCTTGACAGCGTTGGAATTCGTGAAGTACAGGTAGCTGTCGCGGACCTTGATACCATTGATTCCGAAAGCATCAGCTGATATAGGGGCCATCTCGGGGAACACAAATGCCGAATCGTCAAAGACACCCGTAGATAGATCCAGGCGCCCGACGAACCCAGCGACAGAGTCAGATACTAGGACAGCATCTGACCTGCCCGGGATAGCGGCAACGCCGTTGAGAAAAGCGCTCTTCTTGGTCATGTCGCTGATCTTTCTGACTTTCACCTTGGGCTGGTGCCGTCGATTAGGAAACTCGATAGCCCAAGCTTCAAAGGTTCCTGGCGTTAAGTGGCTAAGAGCAGTCGCTTCACTGCCAACAGCAAGGAAGGTCTCAGGCTTTCCAGGGCTCTTGGGTACCTCGGCAATACCAAGAAGTCCGGTGATAGAGGGGAACGTGACCAGCTCTTCAAGACCAGACTTGCAGTCTGCTGGGTTGACGACAGTATAGACAGTCGCCGAGGGCCAGAGTTCCGTTACCAGGAGGTCGCCATTAGAGCGCACAGCAACATTCTCCAACCATGTGCCAAGAGGAAGTTGCCCAATTGTCTTTGCAGTGAAAGAAGAACCCAAAGTGACGGCTGGGAAGGCGATCAGGCTTAGGACAGAGTGAACCAGCATGTTGCTACTTGTTGAGAAGAGAAGGTTACCAAGGTGGTTCAGTTGTTGTTGCTGTTGTCTAGCGGCAATGAAACGATTCAATGGAAAGGCTGCAAGCTATATGGATTTGATGAACCCCCTGGTCTTTCAGCGGCGACAGTCGTTCACTTGTCTGAATGTTGCAGAACACCAAACGAAGCATGCATTATAGCCGAGATTGGCTTCTGGCTCAATCCAACATGTCTAATTGGGTCTCTATGATATCTCCAACGGTTGGATGGCTGAATGACTAGTGACTAAGCCAGATAAGCAATGCTGAATAATGGCGATTTGACTTTGTCAGCTGGGGTTTCGCCACTTGCTCTTGGTTGAGAAATGTTGGTACGGAGCAATTGCAGCGGTCTGAGTGAATTAATTCTCGCTCTTGATCTAGTTGGGAAGCTGCAAAGCGCTGAATAACATGTTTGATAAGCATTCAGCTTCTATGGAATAGTTTCCTAAAACTGGCTATTGACCAGGTTGGGCATAAGTCGCAATTATGCAAAAGTAAATGGAAATTATATTATCTCTGTATATAGCCATTTGACATACGCGTGCCGGTTTAAACACTACTTAGATACGTTTATACTTATGGCCAGCCTGCAATATACTCAGGAATCTAGGGTTGTCACAACCTTGGTATTATTTCTGGGTTCTTTACTAGGAAATATGCATAATCTACATAATTCTCTCACGTGACAATTAGCCTTGAAAATGTAATCGGGCTTGTCAAGTCCTGTTTACCTTAACACCATGGTTCAATTCCCGATAGTAGGTATTAAAGATATATAACAATTTGCCATTATCTATCTCTTCTTTTCCATATACTATAATACTATCCTGCAAATCTTCTTTAGTGCTTATATTACTGCTGTATTTACCTTTCCCATATTTTGCAGTTCTAAATATCTGTGACCTGCAAAGGTATTTAACATTTCAATCAACACTAAACCGTCTATTTTATTATCATGTATATCTTGACACTACCACTAAAATGTCTATTAACTCAGAGCAGGTTTTTATCACAGATTCCCAGTTTAGAATAGACATTTCTGCAAGGCCGGATGCGATCAGACGCGTTTAATGACATATTAAAGCAAGTATGTAGGGTAACCCTCATCCCACTCGGTCCTGTTCGGTGCTGTTTCCCGAAAGTTCCCGGACAGGTTCGCGTCTGACGCGACAGAGGAGCGTCACACGTGATCCCTGAAAACCGAGTTCAGCCGACAAATTGTCCGACGACTCCGGTTCAACGCACTGAGGGTGATCGGAGTCTAGTCCCCTTCGGGAAAGTTCAATCCCAGGCGTCATGATTCACTTGACTCTGATTTGTTAGATCATTGTATTAAAGGCCTCTTTTGAAGCAAATCCGCGGAAATCTCACAACGTCCCACTATAAAAAAGGAATTTTTAGAACGCATGCTTCATCCTGGCATCTACCTATGGGGTCAAGGATGACAAAGTCAGATTTCACAAGCATGAACAATGGAAAATGTGTCGTTGATCCGCTATATATATTAACAAGACATGCCAGCGTTTCTCGACATTCCTCTGCATCGCACAGTCAGAGATTAATTCATTCTTCTTTAATACCAACTATCCGTCATGTCGTTAACAACTTCCCAAGTTGACATTGTCAAGTCAACAGCCCCTGTACTCAAGATTCATGGAGAGACCATTACATCCTTGTTCTACAAGAACTTGATTGGCACCTACCCCGATCTCCGCAACATCTTCAACCTCAGCCATCAACACGATGGCGCCCAAGCCAAAGCTCTGGCTGGTGCTGTGCTCGCGTATGCCACCTATATCGACAAGCCCGAATTTTTAGCATCTACAATCGAACGTATTGCCCAGAGACATGTCAGTCTGAAGGTTACGGAAGATCAATATGCTCTTGTTGGCGAGCAGCTTATCAAAGCCATTGGAGAAGTACTAGGCGATGCCCTCACGGATGACATCGCTGATGCGTGGACGGCTGCGTACGGTCAACTAGCCAATATATTTATCAACCGCGAGAAGCAATTGTATCAAGAGGCCGGCGAGTGGGATGGCTGGAGGAAGTTCAAGATTGCCAAGCGTGAGAAGGAAGCAGATCTCATCACAAGTTTTTATCTGGCTCCATCTGATGGCAAGACACCCCTGCCTTCGTTCCGTCCTGGTCAGTATGTCAGCCTCCGAATCAATGTACCTGAGCTCGGTGGCATCTTCCAATGTCGTCAGTACAGCATGAGTCAGGCACCTCACAGTGACTACTACCGAGTCAGTATCAAGAAGGAGAGTTTCACTCTGGAAGGAAAAGACGAACCTTTGCCCGGCACCGTCTCCAATCTCCTACATAACCACTATCAGGTTGGAGAGGAGATTGAGATGACATATCCTCGTGGCGAATTCTGGCTTGACATTGAAGATGATACAAAGGCAAATGCACCTCTCATTCTAATATCGGCGGGCGTTGGTGTTACACCCTTGATGTCCATGCTCGAGTCAGTTCTCAGCTCGCCTCAATCGAAGATGGCAAACAGACCTATCCTCTGGCTCCACGCAGCTAGAACATCGCAGCACATGGCTTTCCGAACACATGTTTGCAGTGTATCGGCGGGCCACGAGAACGTCGAGACTCTTACCTGGCTCAAGAACGTGGCCCAAAACGATAAGAAAGGCGAAGACTATGATTTCGAGGGACGATTAGACCTCGATGTTGTGTATCAAGCAAAGAAGGAAGAATTGGAAAACAAGGGATCTCAATTTTTTATTTGTGGACCTGCTTCTTGGATGGTAGCAACAAGAGATAAGCTACAAAGTTTAGGGGTTGCGCACGAGCAAATCAACATGGAGCTCTTTGGAACTGGCAGTATCAACCAGGAGTGAGGGGACATATGACTGAGCAATCAGACCAGGCAACAACAAACTAGAATGTAGAATTAGACAATTGACCATTTAGACTTTTCCTCTCTAAGGTATCTTCCCAAAGAGTCTTGAAAACAACAGGCAGTAATAGGGTCTGAGGCCATATAAACATCAGACTTGGAAAACGATCTTCTGGACCTTGGACTCGTTGAACAGGTCGTAGCCTCGAACTGCCTCTGATAGAGGAAGAATGTTGTCGAATAGGAAGCTGTACTCAGTCAGTTCAAGCCAGGCTCTTTGAGCATATCATTGACTCAAGAGTATGCATACCTGAGAGAATCCTGTTCTTGCTTGAGAACTTCCATTGCCTCAGAAAAGATACTTCTTACTGGGCACCGTCCCATTTGCAGACGAACATTTTTACTAAACTCAATTAGCTTCATTTAATATAACAAAGAAGTTGGACCTCACTTGTACGCGTCACTGCCTGACCAAGGGATCTGTTGCATGTTAGTAGAATCCATAGCTGTGCAAAGTATCATGACACATACCTCTGCGTTATGGACACCAATGCTGCTGATGGCACCGAACGACCGAACGAGGTCAAATGCTGTTCGAAGGGCTGGCGATAGCCCGACCACTTCCACCACTATATCAGCGCCTCTGCCATCAGTAACTGACTTTACCTGTTCAATCATTTTGTCCCTGCTCTCCATGAAGTTGAGAGGCTCGGCACCAAGCTTCGCAGCCTGATCAAGTCTGCTCTGAACACTATCCACAGCAAATAGATGCTTTGGCTTGAGCACTGCCGCAGCAACAATGGCACATAGTCCTACGGGACCACAGCCAATCACCACGATAGTCGAATCTTGCATATCTAGCTTCGGCATCATCTCAACTCCGCTCTGGACACCGAAATAACCAGTGGGGAAGATATCAGCCATTAGAATAAGGGCCTGGTCGTGGATCCCCTCAGGGGCCTTGATCACAGTCCCGTCTGCGAACGGTACACGGACATATTCTGCTTGAGCTCCATCGAGATTGGGAGAACCAAGGGCTTGGCTCTTGACACATCGTGCTGAGCCACCATTCTGACAGTAGTAGCACTCGCCACTGTGTAATGTTAGTATTTGCATATGAAAAGCTTTCGTCATAAAAAGATAAATGCAGAGTCTCACCAAGAAGCGGTAAAGGGGGAGACGACTTTGTCTCCAATCTTCACGGTCTTGACTTCAGAGCCCAAAGCAACAACAGTACCTGTAAATTCGTGACCCATGATAAAATCAGGTTCTGTTGGTTCAACGCCTCGGTACAAGTGTAGCTCTCTGATGTCTTGTCAGCCCTCTGCTTATGAGACGTTATTGTCAGATGGTACACACGATCCACACAAAGCAGTCATGTTGACCTTCACAATAATGTCCTGAGAATTCTGGACTTGTAGCAGTTAGTTAAGTGTGACAATGAAGCCCATTACAGCATCCATACTCTGAGGAATTGGTCTGTCTTGCACAGAGATCTTATATGGGCCATTAAAAACCACAGCCTTCATCACTTCTGAGATTGCCATCTTGGTAGAATTGAGGGAGATTATAGGTGATGACGATTTGTTTTTGAAGAGCAGTTGTTTGTTTATCACGCGATGAAGAAAGTGACAGTAATAAACGCCTTTAAGTATCAAGTGGTTTTTAGACCCAACTTAAGTATGCCCATTGTTCTACTCATGCCGATAATTGTTTCTGCTGAGGCCGGAACTTTTAGATCTCCTAGGAAGTCTCTTAACAATTTGTATCCAATCAGCAACGCTTTTCACCAATCATGTGAGCGGAACTGTCTCTCGCTAAGTATGGAAACCGAAGAGATTACGAGTATGATTGGCGCAAACTCAGTAAGTCTCCACCGTTCACGTGCTATTTCGGCTCTTCAAACTCCGCGGAACTTTCTTTCTCCGCCCCTAACTATGACACAATCAACAACTCATACCTTAATGACATCAGGTGCCCAGATTCGCCGAAGCCGTCGGGCTTGTGAGCCGTGTCGGTAAGTTCAGAGTTATTGTGAGGAGAAATTGGTCAGCTGACATATAAATGCAGTCGCAAGAAGTCAAAGTGCACTGGGGAGCGACCGATTTGCTCATTTTGTGAGCGACTTCAACTTCCGTGCAAGTATGCAGCAAGGGGAAGCTCGTCGCAGGATAGCACCACCAAAGCCCAGAAAGCTCAGAAGTCAGACGCTTCCATAATTCACTTTCATATTCTTTGCCTAACCGAAGTTGTAGGAAATCCACCAAAGACAGGGTCCAGGTTCTTGAATCCCAAATAGCGTCCTTATCTGAATTACTTAGGTAAGTCAAAAACCCCGTAGCGACATATCTATAAATAATAATGAGTCACTTGTTAGTTCGCGGACGAATAAAGAAGCTCAGGCTTCTGTACCTTCGCAGCCCCTTCCTTCAACGACAAGCTCGGATGGGAACGCTTTCTTAACTGAGCAGGCTGTTCCGAATGAGCGACAAACTGTCTCTTTCTCAGAAGCCCAGTACGAATCTTATTGTTACTCATGTACCATACGCTTGACTAATTCTGATCTCAGATCTGACCTGCCACAAGATGTATTTACTCACTTTCTACAAGTCTATAGCCAGACAGTGCATCTTCAACCTCTACCATTGTTTGACCTCGCCACCCTGGGAAGGAAACTCAATAATGCTCCTCAATATTTTCTTTATAGCTTCCTAGCTCTTATGCTTGAGTTCACTACTCATGAATACTTCCGGAACAAACACGCAGAGGCATCTAGCTATTACAGCCGCTCGGCAGCTACTACCATACAGCGACTTGCTGCTGAAGGAAAACACCAGGTTGAGATTGTTCAAGCTCTATGCATGATGGCACTGAGAGATATTGCAGGGAAGCGCAATGTAGTTTCCTTCGATGGATCTTACTAATGGTTCTACAGGGAGTGATTTGCCCAGGGCATGGATGTCCATTGGCACAGCGACACGGCTGGAGAGTATCCGTAATCTGTGGAAAAGCAACTCAATCCCCAACCAGGAATCAGCAGAAGAGAACAGATGTTATTGGAGCATTTACATGATTGAGGCCGTCTTTTTCCCTCACATGCCACGGGCCCCAACACATGACCAGACTCGGAAATATCCTCCCAGTGTTGAGCCTCCGCCACCAATTCCACTAGATGCGAACGATTTCAATGCACCGGACTTCGATAATGCTGTTGGTTCATCTGATGACCTAGGAATCAACACGCACGCGGGGAGAATGATAGCAGTCTGGAGTCAAGTTGCCTGTCATCTCCATGAAATCAGACGTGGAGAGGTTCAGATACCCTGGCTGCCAGAGTCTACGTACTCCAAGCTCAATCTTGCTCTTTTTGAGTACGAGGCTCAGTTCAACCAGAGACACCTGATGAGGAGTCTATTCCCTTTTCAAAGAACTTCAGAAGAGATACAAGCATACCGCGAGTATTGGAATCCATGGTTGACCACGCATTTAGTATTGCATGCGTCTCTCGCCTTATTGAACCACCCTTTCATTCACTTGGTGGCTTTACGCCGCAATAAAGGTATGAGCCAGTCCAGGTTGTTCTTACAACAGGTCGTAGATCAAGCTCTCTTCCACTCTGGATGGGTATTCTGGCTTGTTGGAATATTTGAAGATTTGAACATCGAGATATCCAATCCCCTCATCGGGTTAGCTGTTGCAGCAACATCGACAATTCCATGGCTCTACCAATTTGTCAAGAATGCCAAGGTTGCTAGCAAAGCCAGCCAGAATTTAGCCAAGGGACAGAGATTGCTACAACGCCTGTCGAAGACTTGGCCATGCATGTCACACAAAGTATGTTCCTCCACTACGAACCCGGTAGTTACTAACCGTAATCCCCAGCTGCAAGGCCTCCAACGACTCCAATCACTTGCCATTGGAAAGTCACCTGAAGCCGGTGCTGCTGATACCGCAATTAATTTTCCACCGTCTATGATATGGGAACTTCTCGATCCGATCATTTATAATACCAGACTATCCACTGATCCTTCTGACCTATCCACAGAGGGCCTCCCTTACGTCAGTATACATGTCACAACAGACTTCTTGCATCCTCTAGCGGATGACGAAGGCGATCAGACGTCGAGTCACTTCAATTGGGAAGACAGTCTCATGTATGGGAACGACCTGTTGCAGGACAATTACCCTGCATCACTTGTTCCCTTTGATTTCAATGTAACCTAGTCTCCCGTTGCAAGAATGGCTATTTTTGTATCTCGTAGGTGACAATAGTGAATGGGAAAATTGCTAGTACCGGCACCGTTGAATAATGATATCGGGAAACGGCATTTAACAGTTCCGATTAGTTTACCAGAACGGAATGTGTCGTGACCCATAACAACGCTAATTATAAGCCCGCCCATATCCATCACCTGTCAAAATCACGCAACAACAGAGCTAGGGCAAGGTCAAAAATTTTCGACAAGCCTCGTGATTTACGAAATGGCATGCAAAGTCCAAAGGCGATGATAATTATTGCCGTTAACCCGATTATGACAATTCGCTTAGCTTATCTTGCAGCGCCATCTTCTGTGACGTAGTCACGATCTTCTGGAAAGCATCAAGTCGGCCCACTGTCAGAAGCAAATTACATGTGATGTTCGGGTTGGACTACCAAAACCTCGGGCATTAACAAATCACCAACGGACTTCTCAACAATCAGATCATATCGTGAGAAAGAGTTTGCTTGCGTCACGCAAATTGGAAATGAGGATAAATTAAAGGAGTTGGCCGTGGTTGGCGAAGGTATTCTTGAAATAATCATCACACATAAATTCCACTATATTCCAACATCTTAAACATCAATTCGCTATTCGCTATGTATTACAGCAAAGGCAACTATGAAGCCTTTGCGCGACCACTCAAGCCTGAAGGTATTGAGTCCAAAAGAGCATGGATTGTCGGCTCTGGCCTCGCTGGTCTGTCAACCGCCGCATTCCTTGTGCGCGATGCTCAAATGCCAGGAAAGAACATCACCATCCTTGAAGAACTGAAGATCCCAGGCGGTGCCTTGGACGGCATCAAAAAACCCGAGAAAGGGTTCGTCATCCGCGGTGGCCGCGAGATGGAATCTCACTTCGAGTGCCTTTGGGATCTCTTCCGTTCTGTTCCCTCGATTGAGGAGGAGGGGGCTAGTGTTCTTGATGAGTTTTATTGGCTCAACAAGAGAGATCCGAACTTCTCGCTCCAGCGCGCTACGATCAATCAAGGTCAAGATGCAGAGACTGGGAAGCTGTTTACTCTGACCGAAAAGGCCCAGTCAGAGATGACGAGGCTTTTCCTTGCTACTAGAGCTGAAGTTGAGAATAAGCGCATTGACGAAGTCTTCAGCGAAGACTTCTTCAAGAGCAACTTTTGGCTCTACTGGCAGACCATGTTTGCTTTTCAGACCTGGCACTCTGCTTTGGAGATGAAACTGTACCTCCATCGCTTTGTCAACCATATCAAAGGCATGCCTGACTTTTCGACCCTCAAATTCACCAAGTACAACCAGTATGAGTCTCTTGTGCTGCCATTGCATAAGTGGCTCGAGGATCAGGGTGTTGTATTTCAGTACGGCACCGAGGTTCAAGATGTCGACTTCAACATTGGGGAGAGTAAGAAGACTGCAAACTTCATTCATTGGATCAGAGATGGAGAGAAAGGTGGTCAATCTCTCGGAGTAAACGACCTCGTCTTTATGACTATTGGTTCGTTGACGGAGAACTCTGGCTTGGGCGATCAACATACCCCAGCTAAACTACATGATGGTCCAGCTCCCGCCTGGGACTTGTGGCGTCGCATCGCAGCCAAAGATCCCTCTTTCGGCCGCCCAGAGGTTTTCTGTGACAACATCCCTGCGACAAAGTGGATGTCAGCAACTGTCACGACTTTAGACAAACGTGTTCCCGAGTATATCCAGAAGATCTGCAAGCGAGACCCATTCAGCGGAAGAGTCGTAACTGGAGGTATCGTCACAGTCCGGGATTCTAGCTGGATCATGAGCTGGACTGTCAATCGTCAGCCTCACTTCAAGAACCAGCCCAAGGATCAGATTGTTGTTTGGGTCTACGGCCTTCTTGTCGAGAAGAACGGCGACTACGTTAAGAAGCCCATGCAAGATTGCACTGGCGAGGAGATCACCCAGGAGTGGCTATATCACATGGGAGTCCCAGAGAGCGACATCCCTGTTCTTGCGGCTGAAGGCGCCAAATGCGTTCCAGTAATGATGCCATATGTCACATCTTTCTTCATGCCACGAAAAGCAGGGGATCGTCCCGACATTGTTCCAGCCGGAGCAGAGAACTTTGCCTTCCTTGGGCAATTTTCAGAGACGACACGCGATACTATTTTTACTACAGAATATTCCGTTCGTACGGCTATGGAGTCGGTATATAAGCTTACTGGAGTGGACCGTGGTGTTCCAGAGGTATTTGGTTCGACTTATGATGTGAGAGTTTTGCTTGATGCAATGTGTCAGTTACGAGATGGCAAGGAATTGGCGACGTGGCTGCCAGAGCGTATTCGAAGGTTTCTTGTCAACAAGTTGGAAGGATCACAGATTGGCCAGTTGATGCATGAGTATCATCTTATTTAGTTAATTATTGTCGCTTAGAGCATATGTATCTATAGAGTCAAATATTCTCGTTATTAAAATATGGTCTGGTGGTAAAATATCTCGAGATCGTATAGCGTTTGAATTCAACCTCCGTGAAGTATGGGAGATGAGTCCCAGCCTAAAAGCACCTCATTGCCTAATACCACTATGGATTAAGAACGAACCTCCAGTATCCGGCTGGTTGTTATGCAAGGGATGTATTAGAGGTCCTACGATCTCTCTTTCATTGTAGACGCAGAAACAATTCCAACTCAGTAATCAAATATGAATAATACCATCTGTGACTGTCTTGTTTGATTAGTTGTAAAGGTAAAGTAAAGTAACAGGACTACAGTCCAGGAATTGCGCTTTGCCTGCAACGACGTTCAATAAACAGGGTTCAGCCATAAAGCACAAGGCTTACCCTAATTCAGGGGACTGTGAGATAGAGGCATGCCAATCCCGCCAATTCCTTGAGTTTATTTTTAAGCTTATTGATTGTTTCCACTTCGATGTGTACTCGCGTCACGCGCTGGAAGCTGCGGGTTTGGAACTTTGGTATGTACTAAGAGGAGAGGCAGCTGAAAAGAAGTCAGTTTGTCATGGTAGTTACGGTCTGGACCCTGTGTAGACCGCCAGCCGTCTTGGCATTTTACCTTGCCAAGACTTTATTCACGACTAAACGGTATGCCATTTTTATCGTACAAGGTCATGAGCACGAGAAAGTCATGCAAAATGTCAAGAGGCTGTCGCATGGGGCCTAGCTAGACTTTCAGGTTTGACGCCATCTAATCTCTGGCAGCTCGCATCGCTTAATGAATCCTCATTTGAGCGACTTCCGCTTCCAAGGGCTGAATACCATCTCGAGACTATCGATTATGGTGGAGGCGCTACGTGCGCCACTGGGTTCAGCTTCATGGGCTGGCGGTGACCAGACTTGAGAAAAGTCTCGAATTGCCAACGAGGCACTTTCACTTATTTACAGGGTGCTCACCGCAGACACTGAGATTGAGACTGTGCTCCATTCCCGCAAAGTCCACTCAGCGATGAAATTCTCACTTATTTTGGCTCCGCTGGTGCTGCTGGGTGATGTGGTTTCAGCGCAAAGCAGCTTAACCGATATCTGTACTGGCAGCGCCAATAATGGCTGTAAAACAACTATCACTGTACCAAACGGCTTCAAGATCGCCACAACAAAGAAAGTTCGTTCCATTCAGTTCAACTACATCAAGGTCAACGTCTGCGATCAAATCCGCAAAGCCCTCGGCACAACGCTTGGCAACAAATTCCTCAAGGCCCGGGATCCTATTTGCAATTGCTTCACTAAACTGCGCACTCTAAACTCTGAGGGCAAGTTCGCGTCTTCCTCGGCTGGTAACTTTGACTTGGCGAATAACTACTATCTCGATCAGGCCGGGACCCTGGAAAAGGTATTGCTGCAATGCGTTGCTTTCGAATCTTTTTGCGCTGACTGAGTCTAGTGTTTGACGGATGGAGGTCTCAAGTACTCACAAAGTCGTGATGCCACCTTGAACAAACTCAAGGCGACTGGCTGGAAAGTCGCCCTAGGGGCTGATGTATGCCTCCGTTCTGTATCTCACATAGCTTGACTGACACTTATCAGATGGCCCGCGGAACCTTTCGTGCCATGATCGCTGTGATCCATCCCTGTCGTGTCACAGGTGTTTGTAACTCCGAACAAATTTATGCCATCTTCAGGAACTACCTTACCGCCTCGTATAAACTTCTCCTTGGCCCCATCATCCCCATACTCAACCGATGGAGAGACAACCTCAACCTGATCACAAAGTCTACTGGCTACGTCATGACTGCTACAAACGAGGTCAAAGGAGCCTTTAATGACGTTGAGCCGACCCTTAGCGGCTATTATGACTCAATCTGTAATTGGCTGAACTATTGCGGGAATGATCGCCCGAATGTGAAAAGGTTCATGACAAATGTTCAGACCGTTATCACTTTGTCCGACAAGCTTAGTACAGCTAGGCAGATATTCAGCTTCAATACTAAGGTAAGTAACTTGTTGGACGATGTCAACAAGCTCAGGTCAAACTGGGCTTATATCCCTCCAGCCAATGAAATGATCAGCAGGATTCGGAACAACGAGATCAAAGTCGCCAAGGATGTCTTCAAGTTTATGCCTGTCGTTAATGGGATGTCAACTACTTCTAAGAAGGTCGCCAATGAGCTTGCCCCCCTGAAGTTGTTTGCCACTGAGTATCTGGCGGATTCCAAAGCTCTTCATGAACTGATCACTAGTATGTTGGCAATTGACTGGGAGAAGGTCAATCAGGCGGAGTTTGATAACGGTGACCAAAATGGCTATTACGTGCGCAATGGCCTCATCTCGATCCAGGATAACATCAAGAAAGAGTTGGCTGAGGCAGTCAAGCTCTACTTCTGGCTCATTCGGGCAACAGACTCTCAGTTGAAGGACTTCACCCTGACGAATGGTCGCTGGAAGATGGAGTATGGCACCGTGGCTTACCAGCGATGGAGCACCATTGATATTGACATGCCGTGCACCAAGATGACCAGCAAGACGGAAAAGAAGGATGGTCTGACGAAGACATCCAACCAGTATCGGACCTACTGGAAGTGTCACTTTGGTCCACACACGTCTCAGTATCAGGCAGTTCATGTTCCTTTTGTGAGGATGTATGAATGATCTGAGGGAGATGTCAGCTTGGTCCAAGCCAGTACACCTGGTCTAGCCTGAACTGCCTATGCAAATCAGGTCATGTCCATGGCTTTCAAAGGTCGTCTTGAAAGGCTCTCAAGGTTGATATTCCATTCCCCAATATTTCATGGTAGCTTTAGTGTTCAAACTTGATTACAGTACATCAGTCATCTTGACATTGTATTGGTCAATAATGGCTACAATTTAATACGATTTTTGAGAAGATATACTTTTATTGATGTGGTGGATAAGCGTGATCCCACGCAGTGCTTCATTAAGCAGACGATGCCGTTGTAGCTTGACTGGGAGCAGACGTGGCTGTTGCTGTTTGCGACGCGGTTGCACTGCCACTAGGCTCATCATCATCGTCGTCTCCAGAACCACTACCGCCACCCTTGACAACCATGGCCTGAACAATCTGGCCAGCCTTGTTAAAGACAATGTTAACAAGAGCACTAAGCTCCTTATACTCATATGTCCTTTGTGTAAGACCGTTGTTCAGAGTCTTCTCATCGCCGGTGAAAGTCATGTTTTGCTTGTAGTTTCCGATAATCGAGCTAACAACATCGCTGCCCGTTTTTGTGACTTCTTGTACAATGTTTCCAAGGTTGTCAATGAGGAAATTGAGTTTCGTGTCGCCCTGGGTGATAGATCCAAGTAGACCATCTACAGCGCCGATAACGCCTTCGACGATGTCGCCGACCGAGTCGAGCAAATTGATGAGAGCCGGGTTCAAATCGAGGGAAGCCAGAGTACGGTTAACAATCTCGACCAAGTGGCCCAAACGGACAACGAGCTCAAGTTCGGCCTCTACATCTGCGATCGTGATGTTGACTTTGTCGATGCCAACTTGGATACCTGCATTGATCTGAACAAGCTTCGCGATATCCGCGTTGAGGTTGATATCTGCATGTAGGTTGTCGACGTCTAGCTCAATGCGGCCAACAGAGAGTTCTGGGACTTTGAGATGAACATCGGGAGGACCAAGTGAGGAGTTGCTTGAGCCGCCTCCTCCTCCCGGTGCAGCTGTTGGTTGGGTTGTGCTGTCGCTACTGGCATCACCACTCCCAGACGGTGAGGCTGTTGGGGGGATTGCGATGCTCTCTGCAGTCGTAGCTGGATCTGTTGAATCAGGTGTTTGGGCAATGCCCAGACTGAAAAGGTGAGCCAGGACCAGAGGCTGAAAAATGGAGAGACGCATATTGACGTTTGGTAGGAATCTCTTTGGAAGAAGGTGATGATGTTCGATGCTCTAACGGCGAGACAGTTATGGTATGTCGAGACATTTCTTGCTCATCGTCCACTGCCAGGTCTTTGATAATTTACCCCATGGCATAAAGTGGACCTTCGTCACACGGCCCTTGGAACCAGCGCAATCTCCCGTCGCATCATGAGCGCTCGGCCCTATGAGCTTATTCGGATGGTTATATTGCGGATGTTATCCGTCCTTTCAGCTATAAGCGATGAAAAAACAGGATTTTCGTAATTGGAAAGAAATTACTGATATGCTTTACGGGGTAATCGATCGAGATTGAGTCCATGCATTGACGCAGTGACAGGGGTCTGTCGGAAATACAGCCCTCTCAGGCTTCCAATACGCCGAATATGGCTCCACTCGTTGTGATTTCCCCTGCATCAATGAAACCTCGGAGGCTGGAAATCAGGGCCGGAACTTTCCTACCGGAGTTGCTGCTGTTTCAAGTTCGCTTACCGTCGAATCTGGGCTGTCCGACCAAGTTAGATTGAGCAATATATCACTGTTTTTTTTTTTTTTTTTTTTTTTTTTTTTTTTTTTTTTAGCAGGGATCTTTGGTATTACAAGCTTGTTTGGGATGCTCTGTCAAGGAGGGTCGCTTGTGTTTTTTTTTTTTTATTCTACGACTTGTACCCTTTCTGAAGCGTATCTCATTTTAGCCTGCGCAGCTGTCTCACTCATTCTCACTCTCTTTTCACCGGCAGCAAACTCAACCTCACAATGAAGCATTGTTCAGTGTTTGGCGCTTTGGCTTTGGCCTCGTTTGCAAGCTTTGCGACTGCCAAAGCTAAAGGCGACGGCTACTATGGCTATCGTCTGAACCGTCGAGGCGACGATGAGTCCGCTATCTACGAGACCGAAAACACCAACAGCGGTATTGCGCCTCTCAACGAGGAACCCGACGTCTACCTCAACGCCAATGTCTCAGTAGGCGAGATCTCTATCGAGGTGCAGAACATTACTGCCAAGATCAACCTAGACGCAAAAGTCCTCAATTTGCTTAATTTCAACGCTGGTGTCGATCTCGGTATTGATCGTGTGAAGCTCGGCATTTACAACGTCACAGCCAAGGTCGAGCTTGAGGCCCGTCTTGGTAATATCCTGCGCATGGTTGATGATGTCCTTGAGAGTATCGACCTGAACCCAATCATTGCCACTCTCGGTGATACTGTCAAGGACATCGTAGATGATGTTGGC